AACTGAAATGAAGCATTTCCCAGTATATAATAATTATGTTCTGGTGTTTATTCAATTGATTTCCACAGAGCAGAAGGCATTATTTCAACTAAAAGCATGATTATGGTTTCCTGATGCTTGTCATGATTCTTTGTTTGAATTAGGTTGGTACAAACAGGGAAAAAACTAGAGCAATAGTTCAATCTCACCAAATTCAGCGTGAAACGTTTATTTGTATATATATTTCGATATTTCTTGATGTTGGGGGTTAACTCGCAGCGTTAAATGATTGAAAGTGTTATGGTGAAGAACATATTTAATTGAAATTGTAATGGAAATCTTGAAGAATACATGTATACCCTTTGGTTGGGTTTTAGTTTTTAGAAATAGAAATCCCTCTTTTATGAATCCATAACCGTCTTATAGATCAATGTGCATCCTTCCTCATTCTGGTATCTCATTAATCATCCAATGTCTATGTATTGGTCATAATTCTCAGCTGTGGGACTATAAAATAAATGGACATGCCTACAGATTTGCATTTGTCTTTTCTAAATGGCCCTAATTACCCTACAGTGGCCAATTATTGAGGAAATATCTGGGCTAATTTCTAACACCTCCTCTATTGAAAAAAGGAATTGAAAAAATCTTTATTATAATTTGGATGAGAGTCTGTAATCTGCAAAATAAATTTGAGAGAATATGAAGTAAATTGTAAGTTTCTCTTGGATATACATGGATGCTACATAACATAATCCTCAACCACTTATTATAGACAGTAGAGGTGACAATCTCTTGAAGCAGATTGAACCAGAAACCAAAAAAGTCTTTCTATCCCGCCCATCACGTGATGTATTTAACAACCCTCAACACCCTATCTAATAGCTTTATTTCACTTCTTCAAAAGAGACCTTCTACTAGGCTCTGTGCATCAGGGTAATCCTTTAAGTCCATTAGTTTCTCTACTGATTTGACTAATTTTCTAGACTCTAAATATAGTCATGCTCTGAATGCTTACCATGTCAACATGCTCTATAGTTCAGTTCACTTTGTTCTCAACAGTTAAGTTTGTTTTGATAAGTAACGTTATTTACCAAATATTTAATTTAACACATCATTGATTTCTATCATGAATTTTTTATTTTAAGTAGCAAATATGCTCCACCAGACCTGTCAATACAGATATCCAACCAGAAACATACGCTAGAGGGTTGCACTACATTTGATCATTAATATAAGGGGACAATCATAACTTGATTATGACCCCGCCTCTAAGGAAGATTCCCATTATAATTGCTCAATTTCATTTTAGGAACCTTTTTGGTGGAAATCACACAACATTTTCCCACATACATCTATTTCCTTAAGATGATATACAGTAAAACCTGCGAACAGGGAACACTCTCCCATCTAGTCAAAACTGTTTAAATACATTTATGATTCAGTCACTCAAATTGCTATTAGGTACTTGCTCATTGCATAAAGATGATAACATAAGAAAGCCTATGTTGCTGACAATATTTTATTTTGCACATCATAAGTGCAACAAGACGCTATACATAATTATGCAAGTTGGGTCTAAAACAACTGGGCAAAAACATGACAAGATTTTAATCTGTAGTCATGACGTCCTAACCAAGATACATATATACATGTACCTGGAAAATCAGAAAGAATAGGAAATAGACTATAGTGAGGAAACTCAAAGGTTTCTTAGTTGAAGCAATCAATTATTATGGAATATTTGGTTTATACATTTTTGTGTAGGAATATGTGGCTTTAAGAAAAGTGAAATCCTCTCATCTTCCAGTCTTTTAAGAGAAATCATCATTTCCCTTTACAAATGCTTAAATATGTTATTACAATTTTTTTTTCATAGAATATTACTGTTATTAAGAAATCTTTAGACCTAATATCATTGCAGCATTTTGACAACTTTATCAGGGAACATTTTTCAAAGCAAATTAGGCCAATTTTACTTATTGCGGTCACATGTTCCCTTATAAGGGAACGCAATATCTTTCAATAGGAGATCCTATTTTTAGGCCTCTAGCACCTTTAATGTCATTTTAATTCAATACTTAGCTAGTAAAATACATTATCTCAGAGTTAGCTGTATTAAGGAGATCAATATTTCACCACTTTCAAACTGCTGACATATTAGTTGGAAATGTACGCATCGTGCATTAATTGTCTCTGTGGTCATAAAAGCTCTAATCATTGGTTTTAGATGTATGATGTATGATTACATAACTGATGATTTTTTATGAAAATCTTAGATATATTTAAACCATACATAGGGTGTACTTTTGTTGATATCTTTGCAACATATTTGTTTTAAATCATCTTTAGTATGAGCAAAGGATTTTTCGAACTTAACTGAACTTTTTATCAGTATGAATTTATTTTTCTGATGATCTCTGCATCTATGCATTATCTTACTCAGTCATTTCTGATTATTAAGCTTTGATTCTCAGAGTATGGTATCACATTTATGAAGCATGTAAGCATCCCCTATGACATCACACAATTCACATGATCAATTTATTTTAGAGTAAAAGCATTTAACAACATATTCAAAATAACATTTTAATGTGTTTGATAATTTATGAGAGTTAATTACGAATGTAAACTTGGTTAATTAAGCTCATTCTCTCAATTATTTTTATTTGCCCCGGGTGACCCGATTTCCTGTTACTATGGCAACCCTTACTTATCTAATATATCTGTTATACCAAATATTTTTAATACAGTATTCTTTACTGCAGATTCTATGAAAATTTCATTAGAATATATTGAAAAATAAAAAAATTAGAGAGATATTATGAGAACTTTATGATATACCCTCGTATGTATCTAAAATGTGCTCAGTTTTCAAGCAAGTTCAATATGGCAATGTCAGGTAATAAATTGTTCATTATTTGGAAATCAACCTAGGCTTTGTTTCTGAGTTAGATTTAAAACATTTTTATAGGCTTTATACAATGTAAAGTATCTTCAACATGCCTGATTGCTTTCTTACACCATTTTCCACTCTATTTTCTGTTCCACAACAAAACATGTTTAATATAAGAAGTTAACCTATGAGTCTCAAAACTAACAATTGCATGTGAGAAGAATTCCTCATCATACCAATTTCAAGCAATTTTCCACATTGCATAAGAGCATTTTGGGACGTTACATTGATTACAGAATATGAAAAACTGATTGAATAAAGTACCAGAATTGTTTCAGGGGTCCCCAGGGCCCTGTGTCTAGGCTCGATTAAGCTTATGGTTAGACCCCTTAGAGACAATGCAATAAATCTTCAGGCTCTATTCCACTTAGCAATTATGTTCGGGTTAGTTTAAAAAAAGTTTTTTTATATGTTTTAAGGTTAATATGATATAGTTTTACTCAAAAAAATATTTTTATTTTGATATTCAAATTTTGTGAATGTAAATAATATTAGAATCTTCTTCATTATAATCTATAGACTTAAAAATCCTCTTGGATTCTCTTTTAGTAGATTTAAATTTAGTGCCATGAAATATGCTACTTCTGAACCAGCTGCAAGGGAAAATGCGCTTACCGGCATGATTGATTTGGTAACACCAAATATGGTGCCAAAATGGGTAATAAAGGCAGAATTATTGATATTAATATGAGAATCATCTTTTGAAATCAAATGTTTTTTATGCTTGAAACAAATACCCTTGATTCAGAATTGTACAAATAGAAAACCCCATAGAATGTAACTAAAGGGAAATGATGTCATCGTAAGCATGGCAACCAGTCAGGCTTGTTGGACAAGTTTTTGATTTACCAAATAATCATTCTTGTGAATCTCTAACTGAAGTAAAGGGAATTCGTAAAAAATGTTTAAAAAATGTCATCCCTTCTAAAGTTTCTTCGTTTATTTTATCTTTCTAATCCCGACCGTTATCATATTTCTCCCATGGGTTGTAAAGAAGCTTAAGATTAAGTGCGATATGATGTTAATGTTGTCTATCATGTATACTTCAATATAGAATTTTCCTCTTGACTTGATAAGTAGAAATCTTGGACATATTTCACCCACGCTATACTGGTATCCAAGAACAGTATATTGATGTATTAAGATTTGAATTGATAGCTACTGACATATATTTGAAAAAGAGGATTTTTCCTCAAGGAGATGGATGACCCAAGTTAATACCTTTTGTCTGCCCTCACATACAAATTGTCATTTACATTTCCCTATTAAAGGGTGATGCATATCGTTTAGCAAACGACACTCATTTCTGGTGTTGCTCACCGTTTAGTGTAAAAGGCCCAATCCTGGAATAATACTCAAGGGTTCACATGCTTGAGGTTGTTGTGTCAACTACACCTCTTACTGTTATATAGCATAAGTATATTACAGATTGTCACACATTTATAAAAGGGAGATTTTTATTTTGACAAATCAATTTCACATTTATGGGTGATAGTAATCACAATAACGTAATTGTACACAGCTTGGCATATGAAATATCCTCCATATGAAACAAAGCAGTTCTCATACAAGGATTTATATCGGATGTTGTACATGCATTCTTTGAACAATCACTCTCTCAATAATGTTTTCAGAATCATTAATAACGGATCTCCAAGACAATTTCAAAAACTGGATTTTTACAAAACTCCCCTTATTTCTTCAAAATGGACTGATCCAGTTGACTCGCCTGGAGACGCCATATTGTTTTTATAGGGGAAGCTTATTGGAACCCTTTAAAAAGACAAGTTGGTGAAAGATATACAAATTGTGTGGTACTTAAATTGATGGTTCAAAACTCAGTGATGAGTCAGTATGTGTAAACTAAAAAACAAGCATTGCTATAGAGGCTCAAAGGTTTCATTTTTTTTTATTTAACATATAGGTATTTGTTTTTGTACAGACTTTGATAGACTTTAAAATGAAACATTTATGCCACGTCTATTTTTCAAAAAATGTTTTGTCATTCAACATTTAACGAAAGGTATTTTAACAAACTAAACATTCCATATATCTATGTTTCCAGAAAGCAAGATTGGCCAGAATTCATATGGCGAAAAATGCTAGTGGCGCTGCTTTCGTCAAGTCCAAGAAACGGGCACAAGAACGACAAAGAATGCGGGAGAGTGGTATGGAAGTGGATGCCAATTCACACGAAGATGTATTTGAATTGCAACATCACCATTTATTAAATTGTCTTGAAAAAACTACGGTAAGTGCTTTAATTCATATGTATTGTGTTACTTCTGCATCTTAACAAATTTAACTAGATTTTTAGATATAGATTGTTTAGACTGAAACTTTCATACATTTACACTGATATTTGCGTGGATATTATAATGTAGAGAGTGTCTAGGGATAGATTTCTAACATTTTTGCAATTGATGAGCAGATACGAGATACTCCTAATACTCTATACATAAAAGCATCTTATTTTAAACCTTATTATTACGAATCATTTTTATATATTTCATTTTTTTAGATATACATTTTTGAGGTGTTCATACTTAATGTTTTGTTGTTAAAACAAAATCAATTTTTGTTGGTACACAAAATCAATTTTTCACAATGATCGACTGTTCTTATTTTGTCTGTTTGTACGTATCCATGGCAATGTTTATAATTCTGCTGAAAATGCTTATCAAGCACATCTCATATCCATCATAGAACTACAAGTTACCAAAATACTGTGATAAACATTGTTGGGAACCCTCATGCAATTCTTTTAGAAATAGTATAAATACGTAGACAATGGCATGATGACTTCATTGTACGGGTACTTTCTCTATAAAGTGATAAATAATTGAATCGATGATGATGTCATCAATACTACAATTCATCATATAGATAAACACAAACTTTAGATAACTTCTCATGGCTTCTAACCAGGTGCTATTCTATACAATTATATAGGTATTAAACTCCAATTAAAATAGAATTAACCAAGGATAACTTTCCATACAGTAATACATGTGAATCAGTGTTTTCTAAAATGTTACCACATTTTAGCACTTAACCATATTTTTGTGTTGTAGGGGCCTATTGCATGATCAGGATTCTACTTTCATCTCTTCGCATGATGCACTTTATGTCAGTTCTTCTTACCCATAATACAAATACCAAGATGTTAATATTTTAAAATCAGAGACACAACGGGGTATTAGAAACCTGAATTGAAAATTATACTAATGTAACTTAAAATGTAAGGCAATATATTTCCAATTTGTATAAGAGAGGAATACTGTGGGGAATAACATGAAATACGCAAGAACAGAAAGGTACTTTAAACAATGGGAATTTTCTGTTTTTCATGGCAATCAATCATTTTCGCTCATCTGGTATCTGGGAAAACATTTACCGTCTCGAGTAATTAAAATCATTGTCATATTTTGCGTCATTTCTACAATGCCATATTTGAGCCGAAGATATTGATGACAACGTTGAATTCTCTAGAGGGTTTTGATTTGAAAGAAATGTTTTATGCCTCAATAGGTACAGAGTTAAGACCTACTTCTTTTCTTCATCATTGGTATGAACTTTCTTGCCATTCTATTCTTTCAAAAACAGAAAAGGTGTTTGTATATTTTATAGAAACATATAATAGTACATGTTCTTACATTACAGTAGTGGGGCAATTTTCTAAAACCAATTTGACCATCTTCATTTGCAACTAGGTGGTGACATGTTGCTACCATGTAACTTGTTTTTATCACTCCCACACAGAATCGACTCGAGAGTCATTAAGAGATAAAGGGGAACATTTGTTTTGTTTTTGCAATGGAAATACTTTGAAATATGAAACAATCTTATAATTATTTCTAAAATTTATTTCTCATATCACCTACATGCTCATTTCGTCACAACTTAATGTGTGTGGTGCTCATTTTATCACAACTAAAATTTTCTTCTTCACAATAGCTAACATTTATCACTTGTCTTTCAACACAATGTTCTGTTGAGCCTAACCTTTGCATTTTAATCATTATAGATTTAATGTCCAGTTGTTTCATAACATAACATGGGGAGTGAGTAATGGCATACAGAATCAATAATAATTATCTTCTATATCACCTCTATTCAATATCTGTGGTTTCAAATATCACAACTTAAAGGTCCAAAGAGCCATCATGTATGACTTTATGAAGCATAGTATTGTGTTTTTATGTTTATTTCCTCGATTATTAAAATCAGAGGATTGATGAAGAAAATCAATGCAAAGTTATCACATCATTAAGTTTGGATTGTCCTTCAATTCTCCAAACATAAAATTAGAAGTTTCTCGCAAGAGGGTATGTTGTACTTTAAAGGGATACCCTGTATGCACCATTATATGTGATATACTCAGTATATAACATAGATAATGGTGTAGCCAGTATATACCATGAGTAATAGTGCACCATGTATGTACCCTGATCAATGGTATACCCAGTATATACCATGAGTAATAGTGCACCATGTATGTACCATGATCAATGGTTTATACTGTATATACCATGAGTAATAGTGCACCATGTTTGTACCATGATCAATGGTATTTCCCGTATATACCATGAGTAATAGTGCACCATGTATGTACCATGATCAATGGTATATCCTGTATATACCATGAGTAATAGTGCACCATGTATGTACCATGATCAATGGTTTATACTGTATATACCATGAGTAATAGTGCACCATGTATGTACCATGATCAATGGTATATCCTGTATATACCATGAGTAATAGTGCATCATGTATGTACCATGATCAATGGTATTTTCTGTATATACCATGAGTAATAGTGCACCATGTATGTACCATGATCAATGGTATACCCAGTATATACCATGAGTAATAGTGCACCTTGTATGTACCATGATCAATGGTTTATACTGTATATACCATGAGTAATAGTGCACCATATATGTACCATGATCAATGGTATATCCTGTATATACCATGAGTAATAGTGCATCATGTATGTACCATGATCAATGGTATATCCTGTATATACCATGAGTAATAGTGCATCATGTATGTACAATGATCAATGGTATTTCCTGTATATACCATGAGTAATAGTGCACCATGTATGTACCATGATCAATGGTTTATACTGTATATACCATGAGTAATAGTGCACCATGTATGTACCATGATCAATGGTTTATACTGTATATACCATGAGTAATAGTGCACCATGTATGTACCATGATCAATGGTTTAAACTGTATATACCATTAGTAATAGTGCACCATGTATGTACCTTGATAAATGGTATATCTTGTATATACCATTAGTAATAGTGCACTATGTATGTACCATGATCAATGGTCTATACTGTATATACCATTAGTAATAGTGCACCATGTATGTACCTTGATAAATGGTATATCTTGTATATACCATTAGTAATAGTACACCATGTATGTACCTTGATAAATGGTATATCTTGTATATACCATTAGTAATAGTACACCATGTATGTACCATGACCAACCTACTATGCACAATGATTTCAAGATGGAGGCAAGTACAGATACTCATGTTTTCTTGTAGGTCTGTTACAAAGAACGCTCATGCAAGAACCCTGGTCCATGTGTAGATGATATGCTTTAATATACATTCCCCTCAAATAGTTTGGCATCACTATCTCCTTTGACGGACCTCATGTTTAAGTCTATGTATGTTTGATGATTTTGAATTATCATAAAGTTTTACTTATTTCAACCTAGTGCATTCTACATAAACAGGTGTAGCACAGTATCCAAATAGAAGTCATGTTGCTAAACTATTTGAGGGGAGTGTACACCCAGACCCCCCCCCTCTAACACAACTTTAATAACTAATTGGTATTGGATGGTATCTAATGGTATTGCTGTATAGAATGAATCTAGCATTACAAAAAATTAATGTGATTTGGTCATCAATCTATAGAATCTGTTTTAGCATGACATAGTAATAAAACATTATAGTTTTATACATTAGTACCAAATCTATATCAATGCCAAATATAACAGAACCCAAATTGATGGTTATTCTCACAATGTAACATTGCCAAATGGGACTGTTCTTGATGGTGATGCAAGTATGTTGAACCCCCAAGGTGAAAGACCATTTGTATAGTTGAAAATAACAAGCAAACAAAGCCAAAGGACCAGGGCAGTTGGAGTATCTTTGTATATTGGACCTAGTTTATAACTTTTCTAGATATGTTCCTTTAAATTTTTCAGAGCACTCAGTTTAGGTTGGGTCCATTTATGACTGGTGTACTCAGCAATAAGACACAAGACACTATTGAGGTTTTTAAACTTTTACTATTTTCGGTTCAGTTACTTGCAGAGTAGAACATTATTTCATATTTGAGTAGGGTTGCAAAATACAAAAAATAATCCATTAACATGCAGATATAACAACACAATTGTGATTTTTAACCCATTTGTCCAAAAACCAAGTCCCAGCCTCAATTGCTTGGCCTCAATAACCTAAGTTTTTTCACCTCAATTTAGCAACAGGTTATTACCTCAATTTTCTGACCTAAATATTCCACCTTTGTTCATAAACCACAAGAGTGATCTGACCCCATTATTCCTGATCTCAATATAGGACTTATTTCCCCATATCTCCAGGCATTTGCAATATCACGTTGCTTTGATATCTCCATGATCCACAGATACTCCCCATTTAGATGTCTCGAATTTAACAAAACTCGATCAACCTAAGTGAAACATGAATATTTTGTACACTCTGCAAGACCAGAATTAAACGCATTAGCGTCAGTGACACCTGGCTTATACTAGAGCAAGTACTGTGCTAGAATATGCTAGTATGGCACCAGAGTGCTTTGTAATAGAGTAGATAAAGAGAATGTAGATTATATATATCTCAGTTGCATGATTAAAAGTTTAGTTATAATTATTAGAATATGTAGTACTAGAGAATATCATACAAAGTTAAATTGAGCTTTTGAATTTAAAAAATAAGAGAAAAATAATATTATTCTCAAAACATATTGAATTTTGAATATAATTTTGTATGATGTTTTTACAGTACATCTAGTTAGTTATCTAACCTTTTGTTGCATTGCATATACAGGATGGGCGAAAAAATGGGACACTCTTATTCTTAGTGTGTTAAATCTGTTTTTAGTGAATTGTGACATCATACTTTCAAAAATAACTTCTAACATATGATACCTTTTAACACATTATAACTTCTAACACATGTGTATTCATAATTTACCAGTCTTTTAAATTCTCCATCATTTTGTATTTATACAAGATTTCTATATATGCTGATATTGATGTGTCCCACTTTTATTGCCTGCCCTGTAATATACATATTTTATGACCGCATTCTGTACTGAAAAAAGTATTGAAGTGCATTTTGGATGAATTATTCTCTCTGAAATATAATATTCATCAGGGATTAAACAGCCATCCAGATGCTTCATTAGATTTTATAAATTTTTAATAAACTTTGAGGTCGTTTTGATCTTGATCCTTCTAAATATCCAAACATTAATATTTCTAGACCCACTTTAGACTAGTGGAATAGCCTGAAATCACTGGGATTCACAGTTTGAAAGCCTTCGATTCAATGATCAAGATATATTACATATTTAGATTGGCTGTTTCAAATCCCATGTACATGCTTCAAATTTCAACGCTTGATAATATGGCCTGCCAACCCAGATAACCACACACAAGTTTACATGCAGCATGGCTTATGAATTTAAAATGAAAATACCTGAACATAAATAATGAATTAACAAGTATATGTATTAATTATTGACTTAACCATATATAAATGGAAGAAGGTAAGGATTCCTAGTATCAATACTCAAAATTTGAAGAAAATAAATTTGCATATTTCAGCATCTATAGATTGAGACAGTCTTTGGATGGACGCATACAATAAAATAAACAACATTCGGATTCTTATTATTTGCATTTTAGAAGCTAGATGATGCCAACTTCAAATTGTGAGAATAGCTGGGATTCATCATCCTACAATCACTGGACTGCAGAACTCGTTCTTCCTTCCTCTCTTGTTGAGAGAAAAAGAAGATATTCTGGATCTTAGAGGTCTGCTGTCGGAGGATGGGATCCACTTATTTTGCTTATATTCTTAACCCTCCGTCCCTCTTGTAAGTGCATCACATAAGTCACTATGGTAACATCCATGTTTTGTTGTAGGAGCGTGAGTTTTGTGATATGGACATGAACTACAATGGTGCCCCTAATAAGCCATCAGCAACTCCACCCCTCACTCCCAGCCACTCCAACCAGTCAATTGACAAAACCACTGGCTGCTGTGCCAAGAGATTTGGCTTCAAAAAATACCAGGTAATCGACTATCAAACAAAAGAGTAACTAGTGTTTTGTGTGTACTATATACCCTCTCATATACCATTCGTGTGAATCACCATCTAAAAATTCATCTAATCTAATTGAGACATTTAAAGCCCCTTTATTGCATTCCTAACTGTTCCCATAATTGTGTTTATTTTCTGGAACTTGTACTGATTGTGCTATAGTACCCATGTGGTCTGTTGTATCCTGGTATGGAATTTAGTGACAATTAATTGTTACATGGTGTTGATGTTGAAATGTTCCAGCTCGTTTAAATGCTCAATTTGGAAGTTTTCAGTAATGATACCTTATTATCCAACAGTTTATTGAATAGTATGAAGACACCTGCAAAAGTGCAAACCATTATATTAAATCTTTGAGGTGCAGTGATCTTCTTCAGAAAAAATATTTGATTTTGAAAATAGAAATATTTTCATCTTTGGTTAAACATAAATAAATATCCTGTACCTGGTAGTTTTTCTAAAACATGATTGGTTTAGCTTGATAGAGAGGAAAAATGTTCTCTGTTTGCTCAGGAGTAAAAAGGTGGTGTCTTTTTAAGATCTAATATTGTACACTTTTACCTCTTGTGACAGTTCTAATATTGACCTTTGTGTTTTTCTGATTAGTGTGTCACTTTATCCTGAATACATTATCCTGTGATACAAATGTATTTGCCTGTTATAGGAATGTATTCACCTCTCCTAGAAATGTATTTACCTGTCCTAAAAGTGTATTTACCTGTCAAACAAATGTACTGTTGATTGAATGTGTTTACCTGTCCTACAAATGTATTTACCTGTCAAACAAATGAACTGTTGATTGAATGTGTTCACCACTCATCCAATTGTATTTACCTGTCAAACAAATGCATTTACCTGTCAAACAAATGAACTGTTGATTGAATGTGTTCACCACTCATACAATTGTATTTACCTGTCAAACAAATGCATTTACCAGTCAAACAAATGTACTGTTGATTGAATGTGTTTACCTGTCCTACAAATGTATTTACCTGTCAAACAAATGTACTGTTGATTGAATGTGTTCACCACTCATACAAATGTATTTACCTGTCAAACAAATGCATTTACCAGTCAAACAAATGTACTGTTGATTGAATGTGTTTACCTGTCCTACAAATGTATTTACCTGTCAAACAAATGTACTGTTGATTGAATGTGTTCACCACTCATACAAATGTATTTACCTGTCAAACAAATGTATTTACCAGTCAAACATGTCTTCACATCTGACCTCATGTGTTTGTCTCTATGTATTGATATGTTCGTCACTTGTAGCCTTTCGGAACTGGACATACATGTATGGTGTGTAGCGATTTGAATCCCATTCACCTTAAATATATTATTATAACTAGAGATATCACCTTTGACACTAGAAATATCACATTTATTTTCACCATGATTTTTAGAAATTTACCCTCCAATAAACTAGATATCACCTTGAATACATCAACGGTCACCTTTATTTTCACCCTTAATCCTAGATTAATCACCTCGAATCTTCACCTTGAGAAATCTCATTGAACCTGATAATACCTTTAAATTGACTAGAAATATAACTGAATAATATCGTTACCATCAACAGAATCACTAAATTAGAAATTGATCACAAAATGCACATGTGAAGTAGTTTTTACCATGCATTCACCTTAACCCATAGGGAATCACCAAAAAGCACTAATAGTCTATAACTGTTTCATTTTACCTCGTGCCCTATAGCCTGGATGTAGCTGTTGCCAGACCCTTGGATATGAGGTGAAATTCAGATATTTTCTAAAATGGGCCTGATCTTTGGAATTTTGAATACTTTTTGTTTTGTTTATGCAGACCCTTGGTGCATCATATCATATACTGTATGTGTGTGTTATGCTCATGTTTTTGGTAGAATTGTTTTTAATGATATCTGTGTTTTGGTTGTTGTCACAATTAAAAGCATGATGAATACCACTATAGTACATGTTTATGTATTGTGTATATGGTATACTTTTACTCAAAGCAATCCAAATGATTAAAAGTATACGTATAGCTAAATCTTCATTTGATGACACCTAACAGAACAGAAATCATTCAGAATCAAATTAGCATTGCACACTGTACAACGTATACATATGTTATGTAATTTAGACAATCTTTGATTATAATGCTACAATCTAGCTATTTGAAGCATAATGAATATGCATGATCTATCCATCTTATAATATTACATGTTTCTCATCTTCCAAACCACCATTATCTCTGCTATCTGGCTGCACCTAATCAGCAAAGTGAAATGTAATTCAATAAAGCATTTGCTTGCTCAAGTTTACAACTCTGAATGTTGACTGGGAGATTATCCATTGCATTAGCTCTGAAATATCCTCAAATATCGGGAAATGCCTAATTTTGCTTAATCGTTATAAGCCTGACTTTTTCATTTTAAAGCAAGGTTATTCACGGTATATCTCAGAATGATTGCATTGAATATTTGAATGTAGATGGTTGGCCTTCATTACTCAGATACAAGTTGATATATACTAGTCATTGTGAGAATTATACTGCCTGTATTGCTGTATTGCATGATCTGGGACTATCTATCTCGTTCATGTTCAGAGGAACATGGATATATAATTTTGCTTTCTTAAATAATTCTTTTCTATTCAATTTTCTTGTTATTACCTCAGAGATGAAAGGATTAGAGACATTTGGTTTTAAGGGAAACAACCTCTGTTTTCCATATTGTTGCAATCTTAGTTATATACAGTGTTAACATAACTCTTTTTTTTTTGGGGGGGGGGTTAAATTTGAGGGATGGATGAATAAAGTTCATCAATCACATCTCGGTTGAAGTATATATATCGTACACATATAGGTTGATGGGGTGAGGGAGAGGCTAACAAAAACACTTGCGTTTATTAGTTCATTTTTTAAAGAGAAAAGTTTCAGATGTGCCTGCAATGTGGAAGATAATACAGCTATAAGACTGATAATTGCCACTCTGCTCAGTTAACAGTTAACACATTTTCTTCTTAATTTGAATGAACTGCTAATTTCCTGGCATTTCGATACAATTTAGAGTGTTGATAACATGGCTGTTGTCTTCCCTTCTAGCAGCGTTCATTCCATTCAATTATACATGTAGAACTTCAGGTTTATCAGTATGACAAGATATCTTCTATGGAAGATGGATAAAACTGCCAATAGGAATTATCTAGGGGGATATGGATCAATGCTTCATAGCGTAAACAAGTTTTTATGAGGAGAACATTTATCCAGGCACGTCTTTAGACATATTGCTGGTCAGACTCTGTCTAGCTTGACAGCTTATTTCTAAGAGATCTATATTTAATATAGCAGGTCAATCGGATCTCTGAGTTTCATATCCTCCAATATTATCATTGTCTAAAGCCCTTTTTACATATCATCTCAATCTCCTCAACCGTCCCAATAAACGCTACCTAAATTAATATAACCTTGCGCATATGTATCTGTAATTTGTGTTATGTCATTTCAGGCTACCCGGACTTCACCCGAGTCAGGCCAGGATGATTTGAATGATGTACAGATACGATTACCTACAATAAATCGTCATTCAAGGTCAAGTCTTAACGCCATCAACGCAAATAATGGGAATAAGCCCAACAATACGCAAGTCACAACAGCTATAGTGACCATGCCAACTTCTAGTGGTGGCGAGACGGAGCCCATGCTACCTTTACCAGATAACACCGGTGGGGGTGGGGATATACATAATCCTGGGGGACAGAAACCATTTGCAGATTCCCCCCAATCTGATAGAATCTCTCAGTTATGACAGACGTCTAGCCAATAGGACCCTCTTCTCAATGATAGCCTGGGTTCCGACAAGTTTTCTATTGGTTGGCCATGCTCAGCACCATCGGCTCCATGTAACACCATCTATATAGCCATATCTCTTTACCAATTACCTACTACATTGTATATGGTTTTGTTTATATTTGTGTTACTATGACAACAACAACCACACCACCACCACCACCCCATGTGTGGATGTATTGAATCATTCACACTCGACTATGAGAGTGAAGATGATGTGGGAAACTGTCAGTTTTATGACAGCGAGGACATGTTTGTGCAGGAATCTACGAGGCAAAGGAGAGATAAGATTCACAATCTGAATCTGGATAAGCCAAGAATTGGCACAATTGGATCATGTTAAATGCGCCTTAGGATATACATGGTGTCTATTCAAAGTTCCCCAGTTTTTGAGCGAGAGTATTTCAGTATGCAAACACTGGACATGATAGACGCTACATCATAAAGCTATAGAATCAAAATGTCACTATGGCATAACATCAACTTTGTACAAATACTTAGAACATATTTTATCACTGCTTTAAATTGATATGATCTATGAAAATTCTGCCTATTTTAAGGATTTGTAACCCAGGGTCCAGCTGGATAGAATGTTTCTGGAAACAGGGTTAACCATTCAATTTTTAATGTTTTATTGAATCTTAGATTCTGAATACACAGGAGGGTTTGTCAGTCCAGTGATGTCATTGTCTGGTGATATATCAAAATCTGATGCGAAACACACAAATATGAATATCATTACCAGCATCAAATTCAATAGGTATACAAATAGGATCAGTAAATGCAGCAGATCATGGCTGACGTTGTCTATAGTTGTAAATTGAGCCCGATATTGACAACCTGTTTTCAGTGTAATGTTGGGAAAGTAAACTTAACAAGCATTATGTACAATACAAGGTGAATTCTCAACTGACACTTGTTTGTCAGTGTCACTCTAGTCAACAACATAGTGTGTAGAGACGTCATAGTTCAATGAACATACAGCAGTAGAATCTCCAGTGTGTAGCTATACTGTACACGATTGCTACTAGCATTATTATAATAATTTTTTCTTCACACCCCAGGGTAGACCCACCATGGTGTGTGGGTAATATGTGATGGCCCCTGGGTGCACCCTGGCCCCATCCCACATGTGTATAAATCTTTATCTTACAAAGCGGCCATTGCGCACTACTTGTATAAATACAATGTCAAAGAGAGTGTAAAATGGCCGCTGATCGAAACTGTATATAATCCATGGTTCAGGGCCAGGGGACTCACAGGCTGGCCTAGGAGTATGTATTACATGGTGTGCAACATTAATGTTTACTGTATAGGATCTCATACTAATACGGATCGTCACCAAGGAATGTTTTCATGTTTTAAGAAATACATGTTTTACAACCATTATTTACGTAACAGAGGACTGTTGAGGATGATTAAATCCTTTATCTTGTTATACATGTTTTACTAATGTAGAATTATAAATATCAAGCTATGTGTACGTTACTACGAGACAAGTAATTAAGAATGAATCAGAGACAATTGAATCACTGTATGTGTACATATATCTGTATATATATATAGTGATAATAAGGAAAATGCAGTGGAGTCAACAACCAAACTTGTTTAGAAAGTTAAATCGAAGACTCTCCAAAGACACAATTAACTGTTGTTGGGTTTATTTGTGTACATATACTCTATAATAACAAAGCAAGTGATGCATGAAGGCAGGTTTTCTAGCAAATGCACTTGGTTAATACAAACCATGCATTTGTTTAAAATAAGCCATGCAATTGGTTAAAACAAACCATACACATGGTTAAAGCAAATCATGCAGTTTAAGAACATAAGAATTGTACAAGTAAGTACAAATAAATGTCAGGAATTGTACAAGTATTTAGCAAGTACAAGTAAATGAAATGCTCACTTCGGTTTAACATTGTAAGCAGTTTTGGCTTGGGACTCTTTGAATGCTTCACTTCCATGTAATATCTGAACACACCTTAATATTAACATTGATGTAAATACTTTTAGAATTAAATTAATTTATTTAGGTAAATGGCCATAATATAGATATATTCTGGATGTCTCAATCTTGGAAATCTACATATTAGTTATGGAAGCAATGGTGAAAATACGACATTGACATGATCATAGATTTTGACTACCATATTTATAGAGGTTATTTACTGGGAGGGATAGATATCAATTTTATTCAATGGGATTATTTGCATCGTGATATCAATTTAACTCATAGAGCTGGTGTAAACAAGAATATTTTCCCTCGTGTTTGTAATATTGTCCTAGTTTGCATCAGTCCCAACTTTAATCCCAATTAGGGCATCACATGAATATATGTGAACCTGGACAATAAATTATTTTACTGTTGGTATCACAACCCAACATTTTGGCAAAAACAGTTGAAAACATGCAACTTAGAATGAAATTTAAAAAATCTGCAAAGTCAATAATTTACAAATACATGTATAAAAATGTTATTTTTGTTTCCTATAACTTCTATATAGGTTTCTATATTTAGCCAGGCCAGTAATATATTTAATTGGATGGAAGTGGGAATTGAATTTAAATGCTTTAGTTAAGGTTAGTGATAATGTAAGACATAGATCTTTGTTTGTTGGAGAATCGGGGACTGTACATGTAGTTTGCCTCTTAAGATTTTTATTTATCATTTAGGAGAGTTGAAAACCTAGTTAGGCCCTATGTATTAAGTCTGTAAAATGAAATCCCAAGAATTCCAATGTTTTTGCCAAATTGGACTAACATCTGTTTGTATTATATGACATGCGTTTCATGCGAAAAAACGATCAACTTGTATATAGTTTATCTCATTCATTACGTGAGCAATAAATGTAATAATACAAAATGTCTATCTGGATATTTGATAGACACATTTGTATAGTAGACCCACATTTTCTTTCGCTATGGATCCATGTAAAGTATGTTATGTCTCATCAGGAAGCAAGTTTGCTTAATTTTTGTTTAATATTGAAATGACATCTTAAATAAATTCTTAACTTATCAGTTGTCTTATTTTGGTAGTTTTTTCTGCAGCTTTAAATTCTTATTCAAATCAAAAGATTAGACTTTTTATTCAAAATTTTACATAGGAAATAACGAAAATGCTTATTTTGAATTAAAATTTTTTCTCTTGAATTCAAATTTTATTCTAAAGTGTGATTCACATATTGACTGGTTATCTTTCCCGACTGGAATTTTGTTATATACTGATTACTTTGATTGATGTGGTACCTTATTTTACTTACTTATTTCAAGATTAGCGTGTACATATATTTTGTTTTTAATACCACCATCAACATAGAATATCCTTTAATAGAAGAATCTCCTGAGGAAATACTCAACTGTTTTGATTTATTTAAAGTATTTAGTATAAATAATCGTTTTACATGCATTCGAACACTGTTTTTAACATTTACTGGTTTTTAATTTATGTTTAAAACGAAAAAAATGTATTTGAGATCTACTGTATAGTCTCATATGCCTTTTAGAATATTCATTGTATATTATACATATATTTCATTCTATTTTCGGTGAATACCTGTGCTTCTTCCCAAGGTATATTCCATGAAGCCTGGAAAAACTAACTTGTGAAAGATGCACAGGTATTCACCGAAAATAGAATGAGATAATTGTTTTATTATTCACTGTTAATATTCTTCACTTTCAAGATTTCACAAGTTTTTTATTGCCTTTGCTATGTTATCTAAATGAATATCAAATATGGCAGCTGGAGTATAAGGTATAAAAGTACACTGGATGAAATGCAAGGTGGGAAACTGGACAAACTCACAGACAGGGAATATGGCTTCTTATTTCCAAGTCATGTATATGGCTTTGACCAATCAGAGAGTGAGGAATAAGAGAGTGAATAATAATTTTTTTTAGTTTAAACACTGTCATTTTTGAATATGAATGTATAAGTATTCAAAGGTTTGAACCAAGAGAAGAATATTTGTCTCTCAATTTAGAGAATGCATACAATGTGATCTGATTTTTGAATATTGATTCATTTTAATACTTTTAAGTCTCTCATTGTATAAGAACAGGATTCATTGCAATCATGTTGTATTTGAACAGGATTCATTGAGATCATGATGCATATGAACAGGATTCATTGAAATCATGTTTTATATGAACATGATTCATTGAGATCATGATGTATATGAACAGGATTCACTGGAATCATGTGTATGAATAGTATTCATTGAAATCATGTTGTTACGAATAGAATTCATTGAAATCTTGTCGTTTATGAATAGGATTCATTGGAATCATGTTTTATATGAACATGATTTGTTGAAATCATGTAGTATTTGAACAGAATTCATTAAAATCATGCTGTTACGAATAGGATTCATTGAAATCGTATTTTATATGAACATGATTCATTGAAATCATGTTGTATTTGGACAGGATTCATTGAAATCATGTTATATATGAACATGATTCATTGAAATCATGTTGTATATGAACAGGATTCACTGAAATCATGTTTTATTTGAACAGGATTCATTGAAATCATGTTATATATGAACATGATTTGTTGAAATCCTGTTGTATTTGAACAGGATTCATTGAAATCATGTTGTTACGAATAGGATTCATTGAAATCATATTTTATATGAACATGATTTGTTGAAATCATGTTGTATTTGAACAGGATTCATTGAAATCATGTTTGAAATGTACATTCTACATGTGCCCATGGAAAGCCTACTTGGTGCTGATACTAACATACATTGTATACTGATAATTCAGCAAAGATTACTGGTGTTTAGTACAATATTCATTACCTGAAATTATTAGTACTTGTGTTATATTTCCATAATTATTGGGTGTATTTTTAAAGTTTGATTGAGAACACCATACAGTTACTTTCCTTCCAAATGAACTTGCAGTGTTCGTTACAAGCAGAACTTATTTAAGTATAAAGCCTTGAAACAGTTCATATACCATTGTTAATGGCCAGTTTATCTGAAGAACCCTAAATTAAATACCTCAGGCTCTCTTATATAGCCATGCAGTGTCTCAGAATATTCATACTGAAAGATGCATTCTCATTTAATTATTTAATTTGTATTCATATGATTTCAATTTCGAAATTACTCATATTCTGTTTTCATTCATTGTATATGAGCCCATCAAATGAAAGTTGACATTTAATTTGACAATTCAATTAAAGTTACAGACCTAGGCTGGATATCTTGGTTTCAGGATAGGAATGCATCTTTAAGTGGTTGTTTTGCTTGTGTATGTATAAGGCAGGATTTAATGTTTTGTTTGTGATCAGAACAATTACGTTTACATTATAAAAAAATATTAACATTTTTCCATGATGATATTGTAATATTAACATCTGTAAATAATGTTGGTGAAATATTTCATGAATTCTCACACACATGTATATACACCCGATTTTGGTTGTTAATTTGTAACGCTATCTTCATTAAGGGTAATAAGGACCAATCTTATTGCATTATAAAAAAACAAAAACAATGGATAATATGATGCTAGTACTGTTTATTTATATATGTATTGTATGTTATCAAATCTGTTATCAAATCTGTTATCAATTTGAGAGGCTTATTTCCTCAACTCAGATGACTTAATTCGTACTTGTTTCAAGCCATAGGGCTGTATTGATGCACTTTTAAATTGTCATTATACTGTACACTAATTTCTAATGTTATCTTGATATAGCTGAAATATAATTGTAAAGTAGTTAGTCTTAAAAGAGGTGTTAAGATTGGTGGGTATTGCCCTTTAAAGTATGTAACAGTGTTTTCATTGAAGGCATACATTTATGTTATCTTACAAGGAAGCATTTTTCAAACATCATTTAAAAATATTTATCTAAAACTTTCACTTTCTAGACCTTTCACCTTACTTGTTTGTAAGATATCTCTAATCGTAAACCAATACACTTTAATACTATTTAATTCTGTTCAGATTTTAGTTGAGTAGAATCATCCTTAGGGGATTGATCATGAAGCGTCACTTTTAAAAGTTGTTAGAAAAATACATTGTAAATTGTTACTTGAATGTATGCATCAAGCAGTTAGCCTAAATAAAAGTATTTATACACTTTCCACTCCAAACATGTTTTTGTTTTTCATAATTGCACGCAGGTGTTATCCAGTTTGCCAACATCTTCTATGCCTTGTCCCCTCAAGTGAATGTTATCTAGTATGAATCTTGACGTTGCCTTCATGTAAATGCAAATTGTTTTACCATGAATGCCATTACACTGAAATCTTGACTACCGTGTCAGTTTTATTTAACCTGTTAAGTGGAACACTAGATGTTCTGCACTGTACTTCTCAAATAATATTGAATGACACATCACGATATAGTATTTGTAATTAAGAACAAATGGCTTCTCTCAGTAGATCCCCATTCTTAAATGTGAATGAGCAACAAGGAGCTCAAACATCAAACTCACGACCTCAAGTATTATGGTTTAACGAAAAAGACCTACCCCACTGACCGAGAAAGAGTCGAAGGCATGCGAGGCGAATCCTGGAAACCTGGGTTCAGGAAAGCAGGGTTCACTGTTTCCGTTGACGCCTTTGCAAAACTACATTCATAATTTACATGTATACCACAGTGAGCAGGAGGTTTACAGTCACACCCCGGTGCACTAATCCCTTATTTAAATGTTCGTTTTGAGGTCCAGGGTTTAAGGCCATTCCAAACGAAATAAGTGTTTAATGAGGCTACGAAATATAACAATTTGATTAGAATTCTATACATGTATGTGTTCTTTTGTGTCTACCAAGACATTAAACATATTAAAAATAGTTATGTATTTTGATTGGTCTAAAATGTTCAAAGCTACAAGACCCCTTATACTCATTCGTTCTCTATTTTGACTAAGATAATATATCAGTACAATGGCTATTAAAACAAAGAAAGGTTGACCAGTAGAGATTAGGAACGTGAAACATATTTATTTTTATTCATAAATTTTGATAATATTTGAGTTAAATACAATTCCGCACCATCCTCCCTTCTAAAAAAGCAAATAAATCCAGGTTTGAAAACCGTTCACATTTTAGCGGATTTGGATAACGACAAACCCGGGTTTTGGGGGCGCAGCTTATGCCAATGAGCGCTTCTGCATTTTCTTGAAATATCAGCATTTCCTGGATTTACCATTGACCTGCCAGGTTTACTAAAAGAATACAATGTCATAAAATGGAATGTTGCTTTCCTAAAAAGCAAGAAAAACACAGAGTCTCTTACTCTTATTACCCAGGGAGCGCATGTGCCTGTAAGTGGGCTTATTAGCCACTTATTAGCCCTTTGCAGATTATTGATGATTGATCTTATGTTGAAAATCCAGAATGTTTTTTTCAGTTTGGTAAATTTCTGATAACTGCCCCAAGAAATTAATGATACAATAATGAAAACACATATTATATTAGAATATTCAATCTTAATTCGTATTATAGAAGATGATTTTACCTGCAAATTGGGACTTTGAAATGGGTGAATAAAATTCAATTCTTTGTTTACACTCTACCAGATTACGCTCATCGCTGGGTCAACAAATTCCACTTCCGTTTTCGTTTTGAATTTTGGAATTCCACTTCTAATATGAATCATATTTCATTGAATATCGAACAGGTATAGCATTGAATCCGTGAATTTGAATAAAGAGATTTTATGGAATATCAGGGCATAACGATTGCTGAGTCATGAGCTACACGGTTCCCCCAAGAGGATCTCGATCTCAAGTGACCAGAAAAACAGTTCCACCAAAAAATGCAAATGGTGATCCAGCAGATGCAAATGCCGAAACAAAAGATACTGCAACCAATCCGCAAGACAGAGCCCAATAGTAAAGTATATTTAGCTATAGGAAAAACATGATTTCTTTTAGTTGTCGTTGAGTAGGGCATGGGCTTTCAACTAGAAGGGTAGGCAACTTCCCATATTTCATACATACAGTACTGTCAACCCCTAAAGATTTTCTCGCGGGACAGATTTTTTAGACCCAGTGCCCAAAATTCGCGGGATTTTGCGGGACATCTACTAAATTCGCGGGATTTTGCGGGACATTTAAGGGATTTGCGTGATTGCGCTAATAGGAGATTTTTTTATCAAATTCGCGGGATTTCGCGGGACTATTCGAGGGACAAACACCCTAATTGCGGGACAGTTAACAGGTGTACCACCAAAAACTTCATAGAGGGACAGATTTTTTAGACAAAGTGCCCTAAATTTGCGGGATTTTGCGGGACATCCACCTAAATTTGCAGGATGTCCCGGGACATTCAAGGGATTTGCGTGATTGGGACTGTAAAAGCGTGTAGAAGTACTTAGGCCTAAATCAAACTTTCAGATACTGATTAATCAAATATAATGCGCCGTTACATTGTAACTTAAGTAAACGTCAACACAATTTCACAAAATACGCATAGGAATATTATTAAACTTTATTGTAATTTATCAAAAACAAAAAGCATGCTTCAGGTGTGATTACCGTAATCTAACACGAAATTCAAAAATTCGGAACAATACTTTGCACTTCTGGCGTCGTGACCAACTATGAAACGCTTACCCCCATAATGTTATATATTAAAATGTACCTATTCATATACTGTAGGCATGGGCTTTCAATTGAACGCCCATGATATAGGGGTTCGATTAATCTACATCAAATTATAGGGAATGAGGTTAATTTTCTAGATAGGGTTTGTATAAAAAACCGGGTACCGGGTAGTAAATCCTCCATGCTGGGTTCAAACTTGGTACCCGGTCGAAAAAAACCAAAAACGAAATATACGAATACACAACATAATTAGATCATTAGAAAACGTGTAAGATTTGTTTTGAATTTACAAAAATGTATGTAACTTCCTTCAAAATTGAGCTAGAAGCTTCAAATAAAAAGCATTTTAAGGCTCTTTTCTTCCTCTATCATCTTGGTCATATTTCCATTGGTAATGAAGGGGGGGTAATTGGCTACGCCAATGACATTGTAAGACGATTTGAAAAACAAGACAAATCAATCTTACTCTATTTTCAATAGTTCGTATGTTGGTACGTGAATTGTTTTGATTATGATTTAAATCTGTAAATAGCTATCGTTGCTTTAGCAGAGAGGTGACGTGTGTTAATTTGCATGATGCAACGTGTAAGATTTTGATTATTAATCATAATTTAAGTTATCCCAATTTATGACAAAATGTCCACTGAATTGTAAATTGTTATGTCTTACAATGTCATAGGCGTAGCCAGGAGAGGGTGCGATGGTGCGATCGCACCCTCCCCCCCCCATAACCAATGAAAATATGGCCATAACGATAGAGGAAGAAAGGTGCCTTAAAATATGCTTTTTATTTGAAGCTTCTAGCTCAATTTTGAATCATGTTACATACATTTTTGCAAATTCAAAACAAATCTTACACGTTTTCTCATAATCTAATTATGTTATATATTCGTATTTTTCGTTTTTTGGGTACCCGTTTTTTTACCGGGTACCGGGTACCAAGTTTGAACCCAGCATGGAGGATTTACTACCCGGTACCCGGTTTTTTATACAAACCCTTTCTAGATATCAGCGTACATTTATTGTAACTCGCGTTTTCTAACATTTGCTCAGTTCTGAGATGAAGGCCACACGGGTAGTAAAAAGGCCAACGTTGGAACTATTTGTGACCTACATCCCTATTTTCGTAATTAAAATGAAAGTTGAACCCTTCCCCTTTATTTTGATACCAAACAACAGCATGCTAGGTACTTAAAATTAGGTAAACTTTACTCCTCAAAAGTGCAAAAACTTAGCTTCTTATATAAGATAAGATAATAGGGGATTGCAATAATTTCGGAAATTCGCGGAGGTCAAAGCCACATTTTGCGGGACTTCGCGGGACAATGCGGGACACGCGAATTAGCCTAATTTTGATCAAATTAGCGGGATAATCCCGCCATTCGCGGGACACTTGACAGCTCTGTACATAAGCATTGCCTTTTGGGTTTTCAAAATTGGAGAATGTACACATTCCAAAAAATCTTATTTTGTCCATTTATGGATGATTTAAAGAAATAACTCAAAAATAAAAACATGATTATCTCCATACATGTTGATAATTTAATAAAAAATGGAATTCATCATAATTATGACAATACAGAAAGTGAACATTCTCCCACAAATTATATTTTTTATTGGAAGGTGTTCTTGAATAATGCAATACTCGAAGAGATTATCTTGATACCTCTTATTCTTATTGGCCTTTTTGTTTACTTTTACATGAGATTGAATATATTTTATGCTTAAATCATATTGAAAATTGATTTTTATTCAACATAATACTAAAACATGTACATTTATCTAATACTTTTTGAAATATTACTATAAAAGGAGAGCATGGCATTGCTCATTTTGAAGGTCTCATGTTATTACACAGAGTTGCATACCCTTCTAATTGAAAGCCCATGAGTAGGGTATTCAGGGGCGTAGCTAGGATTTACCATGGGTGTCCTATTTTTCCCCAGCAGGACTTGTTCTATAATGAAAGGGGAGGGGGAATTCAAGCCATGGTGAAGGGGGTTACGCATGACGGAAACAGTTTCAATCAAATTACGGAATATAGCTATAGATTTTGTAATGACCTTCGATTGCAAGTCGCTACTACAGTCTCAGGAGCATCAGCTGTATTGGCTAGCCTTTATGACTCAAGAGTGGAGGGTCCTGGGTTCGATTCCTGTATGTGGGCTTCAAATTTAGCAGACTCCCTTTCGAATCTAGTATCTGGCTCAGTACACTACAACTCCCCGATGGACGTGCCCAAGGGTCTTTACAGTGGTGTCAGAAGTGGGATTGGCCTTGTGAATCAGTTACGATGGACGTCGTCCTCCAGGGGGGATGGTGTAATGACATTGATAGCAATACGCTACTACAGCTCCCCCACGGACGTGCCCAAGGGTAGTCATAGTCATCTTTCTGAGAGTAAACTTTAAGAAAAGGGAGTTGTTCCTAACCAGGGAATTATCAAAACGAAAGGGGGAGGGGTGCACAAGCCCCACAAACCCCCTCTCACTACAAGTTTGGTATTGAGTACACAGCTAAATCTGATTCAAGGGGCCAGAAATTGTGATTGCCTTATTTCTTGGTTGGAGGTTTGAATCCTGAACTAAAATTTTGTGACCAAAATCTTGAGAGTAACCAAGTGTGAGAATCTCAGATATACAAATAAAGGACTACTTTTTCGGAAGCTTTTGAAAAATGCGGTACTTTTACTGTAGATTTTGAAAAAATGTGGTAGTTTTACTGTAGATTTTGAAAAAATGCAGTAGATTTTTGAAAAACTAGTTTTGCGGAAGATATTGACAATTACGGTAGTTTTCCAGTAAATTTTGAAAAATACAGTAGTTTTTGCAGTAAATTTTTGAAAAAACTAGTTTTGCTGATGATTTTGAAAAATGCAGTAGTTTTACGGTAGATTTTGAAAAAATACGGTAGTTTTTACGGTTGATTTTTGAAAAAACATTAGTTTTGTGGAAGAGTTTGAAAATGCGGTAGTTTTATAGTAGATTTTGAAAAAATGCGGGAGTTTTTGCGGTAGATTTTTGAAAAACTGTAGTTTTACGGAATATTTTGAAAAATGTGTGCCCTAGTTTTTGCGAAAGATTTTAAAAAATTATGGTAGTTTTTGCAGTAGATTTAAAAACACTGTTTTTGCATCACGATACTCCCCAGTGTGTTGACTGATTACATGCCAAATTACTTATAAGTACGCAATAACCACTGTCACAGACCTGCCGACACCTATTTTCGAGTTGGTAATGCAATATTACAGGGGCAATACAGGAAGACTTAAATTTTTCAGAATTTCCAAATTATAATGGTAGATTTTACGGTAGTTTGAACCAGAATACTGTTAATTTCAGCAGAAATATGTTAGATTTCTTAATATTAACTTTAACGTATTTTATGGCCGTTTTTATAGAAAAAATCGAAAAATAATAAAATATTTTATGGTTGATTTCGGTAAAATTACGGTAAAGTTTTTTACGGTCGTTTTTACGGGAAAATTGTTAAATTTTTTACGGTAGTTTGGCATTTTTTATGGAAAAACAAAAATTTTACAGTAGATTCCCGTAAAAATACGGTAGGTTGGCAGGTATGAGATCTCTAACCGTTGACAATAAATAAAATTGTACAACCATGGGCTTATTTCTGTTTTATGTGATTTGACATAGCATCAGCATATGATATTTGGTTTCAGTGTCTTTAGCAAAGACTACAGCGTTTGTTATTACAACCAAGTTGTGACATTTTGTGATGGTAATTGAAAAAAAACATTTTTGATGTTATTGCCCCTTGTTATAACTGTTTTACTGTAGCTCTCTATCTCATGTAATTACAGTATGGGTGGATACACGATGATAACTCCAAATGAAAAGAAACGTCAGCAAATACAAAACCGTAAGTAAGCCTATATTTGACAAAAAACATATAAATTCAAAATTATTTTCAATTATGTCACATCTAAGAAGTGGAGTGTCGTTTTTATTAAAACAACTGATTTTGTGACCAGCGTCACTGTTGCTATCAGTTGAGTGTTTTTTGGTAACCTGTAACAAATGGTTACACTGTTGTTGTTGCAATTTAAAAGTGGCGATTACCCTGAGTATCAGTGCTTCATTAAATGTAGATGAAGCTCTGTTTTAGACAAGCAAAACCAAACTTTTGAAAAGGGTAGATGGTGACTTTTGTCATGTGGTAATGTCTTGTTTTATATTACTTTTAGAAGCCAAAAAAGAGGAACAAGCTTATCAAAAACATAAGGAGAAACAGAAACTAGGTCATGTGTCATATGTTGGAACTGTTGGTAAGTCTATACAGTATTGTCTATTACCATGGCAATTTGCAATTGTATATGGTGTATCTCATAGTTACATTGAAATCAGGATTAAAACGTTTTTCAACTGCAGGGAAGAAATATAACTAGACTTTGGAAATTGAACGAAGTTCAATTTCAGACTCCAGATCTAGACTTTTTTAAGCCCAGTCATCAAAAAATAAGCCGAGTCATCCAGAATAAGCTGAGTCATCCAGAATAAGATGGATGGATAAAATAGGAAGGTAGGATAGGATAGAATGGGAAGGAACGATAGGATAGAATAAGAAAGAAGAATAGGATAGAACAGAATAGGAAGAAAGAATATGATAGGAGAGGATAGGAAGGATAGGAAGGAAAGGATACGAAGGAAGGATTGATAGGAAGGATAGGATAGGATCAGATAGGAAGGATGGATGAATTTTTCAATATTTTCTTCTCTACTCTTGACTTTTCTATCAGGATACCATCAGATCGATTTTCCGAAATTTCAAAACGCCATAACTTCCGAACCGGAAGTCGGATCTAAATTTGATTTAAAGTTTCGGATTCCTGACAAAATTCTACCCCTAATTCATAACTCATACGTTAAATTTGGCGAATTTTTATTTTGACCTACTTTTTGGACACGCCATTACTTCGGAACCGGAAGTCGGATCGAAATTTGGTTTGCAGACTCGAATTCCTGAGAAAATTCTACCCTTAATTCATAACTCATATGTTAAATTTGGAGAACTTTTTTTTTGACCTACTTTTCGGACACCATATCTTAAAAGTGGGTCGAAATACTTTCTGACGGCAAAAGGCTATCACTATAAGCACACTCTTTCTTACCTGTATACAAAATTTTGAAGCAAATCATTTAAATATAGTGTCAGAATCGCAAAAATAAGGAAAAACTATGAATTTGACCTAGATTTTGACCTAGGGATTTTGGTGTCCAAATTTTGAAGTTGGGTAGCCTTCGAGGTCCCCTTCTTTCATAGGCTTTCATTATTTTAAGCTGTACTTAGTCTATATCTTGTATTTTACACTTCAAAAAAATCTTTTATCCCATTGACATAACATGGGGCACCAAATTTAGCGATTTTTGAGCTTTCAAAACGTCATAACTTCCGAACCGGAAGTCGGATCGAAATTTGGTTTGCAGATTCAGATTTCTGAGAAAATTCTATACTTATTTCATAACTCAAATGTTAAATTTGAAGAAATTTTTATTTTGACCTACTTTTCGGACACCATATCTCAAAAGTGGGTCAAAATACTTTCTGACGGCAAAAGGCTTACACTATTAGCACACTCTTGGCTACATGTATACAAAATTTCGAAGAATATAATTAATCTGTAGTGTCAGAATCGCAAAAATAAGGAAAAACTTTGAATTTGACCTAGATTTTGACCTAGGCATTTTGGTGTCCAAATTTTTATGAAAAGAAGGTTTTGAGGTCCCTTTCTTCTATGGGGTTCCATTATGTTTAGCTGTGCTTAGTCTATATCTCGTATTTTACACTTCAAAAAAATATTTTTTCCCATTGAATTAACATGGGGCACCAAATTTAGCGATTTTTGAATTTTCAAAACGCCATAACTTTTGAACCGGAAGTCAGATCGAAATTTAGTTTTCAGATTCGGAATCCTGAGAAAATTTCCTATAAGACTGATATCATGGACATTGGATTCGGAGAACCTTTTTTTGGACCTCGTTTTCGGACACTGATATCTCGAAATCGGTTTGAGATACCAAAAAACTAAATCACTCTAGATTTTCTACTTTTTTATGAGGAACACAATGAAAAAAACCCGGATCCAAAATATTGAAGGACGACCGAGAAAATCGAAAAAAGTGACAAAGTCCTGGATTTGACCTAGTTCTTGACCTTTGACCTAGATAAAAAATTGACCCAATTTCCCACCAACTAGATACTGAACCTAAATAAACTGTATTATGGTCCTTACTGGATACCTCATAGTTATTGAAAAAACTCCTAAAGAATAATAAGAATAAGAATAAGAAGAATACTGGCAAAAACAATAGACTCCAGATTGACATCTGGAGTCTAATAAATAGTATGAAGTTTATCTCTCCTTAAATTGAATTTCTCAAACACTGCATGGCAAATAAGGTTTAACTGAGTATAGCATACTGTATGATTGTTGATAATTTTGAACAGGTACATGGTTCCTGCATGAATGTAATAAACTATGTGTACATATGTATATGTATGTTGCAGGAGGGGGAGAAAACCCTGCAGTGCCCAAGACACAGACTCCTAATGCAAAACTCAAGCAATCGGTATGTCAAAAAATACATTCACTTAAATTAAGCATACATTTCTCATATAAGTGCCTGGCTAAGCTGTCTCATCATTTACATTTGAGGGCCTCTTTATAAAAGCATAAAATAGTTCTGTGATTGCGTTGCAGGAGAAAAGACAGCAATACAGACAACAGACCAAGGACAGGGAGACTGCAGAGTTACAGAAGAAAAAAGAAGCAGCGAGAAAACAGGTACTTTCTGCGATAACATTAAGTAATTTCCAAAAGACGAACTAAAAGTCCATTTTACAGCAAGTGTATTGTTAGATACATGCATGTCATTGTTAGATACCATAGGAGCCAGAAAGTAGTCTGGATAAAATTACAATTTCAGCTCTTTTTGAAATACAATGTTGTATTTTTGGTTGTTGATTCTAGGCTGGATTAAATACACAGAGAGACAAAGAGAGAGCTGAACGTTTAGATGAGGACAGGCGCAAGTAAGTGGTGTTTGTCTTTGTAATCTCAGAGCACATGTACAGTATATTTATAAATTGCTTTGTTTATCCATTTTTATTTTACTTACGCATGGAATTGTTTTATAATCTACCTGAATTATTTTAATATCCAGTTAGAGTGTATGCAACGTATTCAATTTTATTTCCAGGAAAAATGAAGCATTTTTGAAAAGATTTGATAAGCCAAAACGTTCACAGGCAAACAAATCAGATAGTATAGCGGGAGCTGGAAGACAACCTGAAGAACTTGGTGCAACAAACAATAATTTCTCAGATGACTGTGATATATACTACAATGATGGTAACCCACTGGTAGAATTACAACAGAGATTTCCTCACTGTGATATGGACTACTTAGAGGGTCTTTTACTTCAGTGTAATGGCAATGTAAGACAAGCAATGTCTTTACTGACATAAGCACAGGGGAATGAGCTTAATAATTTATTAAATGTTTTGGACTGTTTTGATGGTGACTTTGAAAAAATCTCAATACAAGTGCAGAATATTTCAAACCAGCAGGTTAAATTGAGATAACGGACAAGGCATAATGTTGATTCTCTATGTATCTTTTGAAAATATCAACTGGTCCCAAAAGTTACAAAATACCTGGCAAGGACCAGTGGTACGTCCCATAATTTGCACCATGACCTGTGTCTAAAATTATGCTAGTCTAATGCTTACAAATGGTGGAGGAACATAAGTCTTCATAGGGACAATAATTAATAGCAATTAGTTGGAATGAATTGGTGTTGCTATATATGATAATAGGGAGTTTAAGCTTGCATAAAAAATTGAAACACCACCAACCTATACGTATGACCAATCGTACATACAAACGCATCGCTTAAATATTTTCTGTTCACGTTGTGAAAAAGGTGAAAGACACTACAAGCTTGAACTCCTTATTATATATGACAGTTTGCAGTATTCTTTACTTCTTTAGTTCATATCAGTATTCAAGAAGTTTAGTGGTATACCTTGCAGATATTAATGTAGAATAGGGAAATTAACCCATTTGATAAGAAACAATACAAGAGATGCGAGTAGAAATAATTTATGTCATTAGCAATTCAAAATTCAGTCAAAGTGATATCATATTTCAAATCTACATGTAAAATTGCATCTAGAAATATGGTTTTAAAAAGTATTTTATCAACTTTGCAAATTTGATTTTCTTTGAAACTGTGACTTCTAGGTCGGGGCGATTCCCCATGTTATAAAATCACAGAGTGAAATATCTTTTCTTATATTGGACAGATATTTTATTCAACTGGACATATTTAAATTTGTATAACTATCAGATACTTAAGGGTAATATTAAAATTGAACTACTAAAACAGATGAATATACAAGTTTAGCGAATGGAAGTCTTTTCCTTATCATGAAGAAATCCCACAAAATTGTTTTTTCACTTGTAGACAAGATTAGGTTTTATCATTGTTCATCAACGAATAGGGAAGTTACCCCATTTGATATTATGATAATGTATATGATTGGACACTTGAATATACAAACAGAAAAATCTATTTTACAAGAATGATCTGTAATTATATGGATCAATATGTTGTTTATTTTCATGAATAAATTAACAAGTGAAATAAATACATATACAAATATCTATTTATGAAACATTATTTTATTTTTGGGTTATATTTCCATACATCAATTCAATAGAATAAGATCTGGATAAGAAACTTTTAAATGGACGGACTTAACGCATTATATTCTTACATATGGTATTTGAGCTGTGAAAATATATTAATCATCTGAAAATACATGTAATGTTTGTTGACAGATATTCTATTATTCTTAATACAATAAATATTAATAATAAAATATTCCAACATACAGTACATTATAATTATCATGAGTCCAATGTAAACTGGAGGAAAATCGAACCCAATGCAGGTAAAGTCGAGTGAAAAAGTGCACTAATTTCTAATGAATTTTCTATTATTTTTATTGTTCAAAATTTTACAATTTTCGATTGTTTCTCAGTTTCGAAGATACAACATGGGTGGAAACTTAATTTCGAAAATATCAATATTCTATCATTTATGAAAATGTGTACAAGAATGAGCAGTATAGCATAAAAATAGGGCATTGTCACTTTTCTTTACCTGGATATGCACATACTGGAGAACCAAATCGTATTTGAGATTCAAAAACATATGAGTGTTCAAAATATTGTTCATATCCATGCATTACGTTGTTGGTCCCATTATAGGTATGGTAAAACAATGTCAACACATCACAAGTATCAGTCAGCTTTAGTAAGACAACTTTTGGGGATGAAGCAATCGTAGATAGAACTCAGTATTCTCCAGAGAGTAGGACCATTTTATATGAGATATTTTCAAGTTAGAAAATGACTCCTGTGTTGGTTGAGATTGAAAAATACGAGACTAGTACAATAATTTCATATCTTGTCAAACAGATTCGTCTGAGATAGCTATTATGCACAATTTTTCGATCTCGGCCTATGAGGGAATCCCAATCTCTGTGTATTTGAATATTTCACATGAGAGTCAATTGTTCTCAGATAATTACTCAGATGCAAGTTCAGCCACCTCAGCCAATGTTTCAACCTCCTTTGGTTGTTGTGTTGATAGGTCATCACTTAGCTGCCACACCTGTATCACACCTGCACCATCACCAGTTGCTAGCAGCTGACGTCTGCAATCAAATAAATTACAAGATCAATGCTAATATAGAGATACTGTACATTGCAATCACATTCTCAAATGACAACATATTTTGAATGATTGATCAGGTTGCACTGCTGTAATTTGAAAGACTGTCTAAGGGAAGGGGATTTCCAGAAGCAAAATTTGTTAAGATTTTTTGTTTTCTTGATTTTAATGCACATATGTAGTGTGTACATTCCGGTTTTGAAATATGATTTCACCTCAGAAATATGTACCGGTAGCTTACTTGTTTGGATGTTTACAAATCAATTCACTTGCTTAAGGATTGAAGACTTTATTTTGTCCTCGTTTCATGCTTCATAATGTTATGAACAATCCACATTTCTCTCCTAAGCGAGAGAGTTATTTTGGAATTATCCAAACAATTACGCAATGTAAAAACATATTTTGAAACTGGAATCTGTGCATTTATACGTGCCAAATATTTAGTTGAAATTTGGAGAAGAAAACTGATTAAATCAGGGAAAACAAAAATCCTTACCAAATTCTGTTTCCTACCTTATTGAAACGGAGACAATTGTCTCATCCCCAATGATAACGATATTATTGCAAAGAACTCTAATGTTCAGCATTACAGAAGAGTTACTCACTGATGCTGGTTAAACTGTAATGTATAAACTGGTTGCTTGGTTGGACTGGCAGGTAGTTTGTGTACAGGAGTAGCCTGGTTAGACTTGAGATCATACAGTAATAGCTGGCCATCCTCTGTTGCCACCGCAAACACAAGAGGACGTACAGGAGACCACTTAGCTGAGAACAGATAGCCAGCACCTGGTTCTATGGTCACAATAGGTTGTGCCTACAATGTAATGCAATGCATTAACATGGAAAATGGCACCACCTGACCTGTAATAGACACCGTTCACCAAACACTGACTGCCAAACGCCGGACACCATCCACAAAAAAGTTGGAAACTATAACAATATGATGAAGCCTTCAATGGCCTCACAAAAAAACTGGTGGCTATAATAATATTATAATTTTGCCATTTTTGGAAAAATTTTAGAAGCATATATTTCACAAGAGAGGGTAAGTCAAAATGTTTCTGGGTAATATTTGAAAGAGGGGCTTCCCCAAGCTATGGGCATGGGGTGTGCTGTCACCTACCTGTAGCATGCTGTATATTCTAGCAGTTGTATCAGTGCCTGAGGATAACACCAGGTTCCTGTGGTAGGGTGACAGGTCCACACTGTACACAGGACCATGATGAGGCTGTAGGGTGAAAGTCACTGGGGATCTCAGGTCAACTGAACATGTAACATTTCCTGTAATACATAGCATACATTCTACATGTTTATCTTGGTATCACATAATATGGTTAAGGGGTTCAAGTTGTAACATAGAGGTTTCGCACGATGTTTTCAGCCCGATGTATCTAGAATCCATAACGCATTCTCCAGATTTATGCGTACTGTAGATCAATCAAATCAAATCAAATCGAGATGTGGTCGAGGATATGTTTTAGCTGTAATCCATTGTGTGAAACATTGTGTATAACATTTTATCCCATACTTGGATTTAAAAATAAGGGAGAAGTGTTTCTTCAGCAAAATTAAAGGAATGATCTCTTAACTCTTACATGTTCTTTGAACAAAACGCTGTATTGTTTTTTGCTGTTGATCAAAATTCATTTGATTTCTGATTTAGTGCATTTTCATTTTTATATTTTACACCTGAGGCAAAATAGACTCAAATTATCTATGAGTATGCAAACAATAAAGCCTAAAGCCATTTAAACAATAAACATTTTACAGTTAAAGTACAATGCTGTACATATACTTTCAATATTGTTTTAGCAATTGGTCATTAATTAAATCATATTATATTGGTTGGTTTGTATGAAAAATTCAAATTAAACATATCTTTTTAGTGTTTTTGGATATACTTAAGGCCACTTCAATGTAAAAATTCAACAGTAATTCTTCATATAAAAGGATCCTGGATTGGAACAAATAAACTGATATCAAAATGACAACAAATCTGCATTGTAAAATATTTGGAATAAATGTAACCTGCCTTAAATGGAAGAAACAGGCTATTGCCTTATATGGTATGTTCTATTTTCTGATGTTGATTAGATATTATGCCTTAGAAGGCAATAACAAGAACAAGAATATGTGTTCACCAAATGCACAGAATAGTGACTTACAACTAGAATTCCCCAGGTAAGCTGTTTTAAAGATCATTATCTTTATTCATATACTGGTATACATTATTTCTACAATCACTTTTTACATTTATTTACAATTCAAAATAGCATTTTGGAAATCATCAATCAAATAGCCAAATTCATGTCTGAATATGGGTATGAAAGTGAAAGGAATGAGATTTCACCCGGTCATACATAAGATTTTCCTCTGCAATCAAATTGTATTTGTTTTCCTAGAGTTCTAGACTGCATTATACGTCAATCTGGCCAAATATCTTTTCACATGGAGAGACAAAGTAAAGGCTTATATTATGACGCATACACAGACACATCTCAAAATCATTACACTCTGGCCACTTTAAAATATGCATTTAACCAAATCCACGAATAATCATAGAATTATCATTTGCCTTCCAGGGAAAAATATGAAGGAAATATCCCCTTAGATGAAGTGGAACCAAACCCTTTCCTGAAGAAGTACCAGTATCAGTCGTGTAAGATGTGCACACTACCTAAGAGAATATTCCTCATAAAGAACACCATGCGCTGTAAAGCTCCTGAGATTGACTTGGTCATTCTGATTAACTCGTACCATGCTAATGTGAACCATCGCAATGCCATAAGGAACACTTATGGACAGTCAGAAATTATGGCCAGATTGAAAATAACATATGTATTCCTATTGGGTGTTAACAAAGATGAGAAACTAAATGCTCAAATTGAGAAAGAATCCAGAATTTACGGAGATATTGTACAAGGAGATATAGAGGAACGCTACCCTAATCTGGCACTTAAGACCATAATGGGATTTGAATGGACCACCAAATACTGCAGATACGCCAAATATGTGTTGAAAACCGACGATGATATGTTTTTGAATGTTCAGCTTATAAAACAAAGCATCCTACATGGGGCCTTAGTGGATGAAAACACAATCAAGGGAGCCTGTTTGGGATCTGGATATGTACATAGATGTCCCAGATCCAAGTGGTACGCCTCATATAGATCATACCCCCATCAATACTATGGGCAGTTCTGTTTGGGGGCTGCCCTATTTATGACTAAAGACACTTCCAGACAGCTGTACAAAGCCAGTAAGACAACTCCAAACTTCCATGTAGAGGATGTGTTCATTACATCTCTGGTACCCAAGAAATTAAAGATTCAGAAGCAGAATATGAGTGGTTTAGAAAGATCAGGAGATACAATGATACATAGGTGTCCATTAGAAAGTGGCATATATGCCAGTCTGTTGTCAGGACCTAGCCAGATGTATACTATTTACAGGTCTCAGCAAAATTATATAAGCAAACATAATTGTACAGTTTATTGAAATTGATCCAGTAAAATAGAACAGAATCTTAGAATAATTGTTGGATATTGTGAAAAATCTGATAAATTATGAGATCCAGCCTAAATGAAAGTACAGGGTGACACAAAAATGCCACCCACTAATTTTGGAGTGACTTTCTCAATAATGAAGGAATTTTCATGATTTTTTGTATAGATAGAGTGTTCAGTGGAAGAAAGATTGTTGTTTTACTTGTATAGCATCAAGAATTTTGAGATTTAGAGATAATACGTTTTCCATCCTAGTATGCTCTGAGAAAACGTCAAAAAATGTCCAGAATGCAATTTTCTGTCTTAGCCATTATTTGAGTCAATGTAGCTATCCGTTTGTCTTAAATAATTTTGTCGATAAACTGACTTGCTTATTTGGTTTTTAAAAAGTTATTCCAAAACTAGTGGGTGGCATTTTTTGTGTCACCCTGTACATGGACATGGTCTGATTAAAAACAATGCTCAAATTGTTTGATATATACAGTATATTGATTCAATACATATACCGGTATTCAAAATGAAGCAAGTAAGTTATGTACATTTCAACCCCTCCCCTTACAAAATTAAATCTGTTACTCTACAACTGTTGACCTTTGGACAACATCCCTTAAAGACTATTAATAGTGAAAAACAAAAACTGAAAAAAAGACTTACTTCCAGCAGGAGTTCCTCGGAAGTTGGAAGAACACTTGAAAAGTCCTCCACTCTCTGAACCAATCACAAATGTTTCACTATCCTCCTTACTGAATGATATGCATGTCACTCCCATCTCTTGGTCTCCTCTTTTAGCCCTCACCCTCATGCTGCGAGGCAGGCTCTCTGTCAGTAATATATGCCTGGGGTACATATGAACTATTTTGAATCATTTAAAAATTTGTAATACATTTTTACTTTCCTGTCAAACACTACATGTATGTAAGTGGGTAAATTTTAAACCTAGGTAATGCTTTACTTATCTAGTAGCAATACTTGTTTGTTCTACTTTAGAAGAAACTAAATCTGAACATACCCATCCTTTAGTTTGAGGGTACCGTGTTGCTGGTCCATTTTCCATATTAGAATCTTTCCATCACTGCTAACACTACAGATCTGAAGTACACAAATGAATTTTGATCAACAGCAAAAAACAATACAGCATTTTGTTCAAAGAATATGCAAGAGTTAAGAGATCACAAAGCCTCATACATTTTTTGTCATAAACTTTTTTCCTGAAATTCTCATAAGACAAGTAACTTAAACTCACAGAGATTCATGGCCTACATCATTTTCATCAATTTCATTTACACCTAAGAAAAAGATCTATAAACACACAAATATAAACTGCCTTTATACATACATTATAACGCTTTCCTTTTGAGCCAGGGTCCTGTACCCAGTGTACTTTAGAGACAGGTTCCCTATGAGAGTCATCACCTATTCCTGTTGTAGCCACTATCATATCAGTGTCTTTGCTTGTGTCCCATACTATAACCTCACCTGGAAATATATGAATGTTTTTATTATTCATTTTTTCTAAAATCAAGTGTACTGTATGTACAGTATGGCAATTTTTTTAAAGTATGGCAAATGATTTTAGACAGTAGTATATTCTGACCATAGGTACAACATATTATCATTATGACGATAGTTTTCCTCCCAGTAAAGGCCCCAGGATAACAAAAGTAACAATCCAACAGCATGGATTAGACAAGTTAGTGCCAGATACAGGTTCTTTTCCTCAGTTAACAGCATGCAAGAATTGCTGATAAAACTCAGTTAACTTATGCAAAAATCATACACACAATCATCTTTTTTAACATTAATTTTGTCTTCAACTCTTGCACAAGCTGATAATCTAAAACATATGAATTTTCTTTTAAACTCAGATTCAGACAGATCTTGTGATATATACAGAATACATTTTGACTGATATTTCCCCCTCTAGATGTATTTACATCTCAAGTACATGTGCTATTTTAATAAATTCAATCTCACCATCAAATGTTCCTCCCAGGATCCAGCTAGGTTGTAGAGGGTGGAATGATATACACATAAGGCAGCTGGCCAGATCTATGACAGTATCAGGCTTATTAGGCTCTACAGTTCTCCTGTCCAGATTCCAGGTACAGAGGGCAGATTTGTGTGTACACCAGTCCTCATGGTTTAGGTTGCCGTATGATGCAGCTAACACTGATCCCGTAGAGTTCCAAGACAGCGCAGTTACATTCAGCTAGAAAATCAAATGATTTTGTGGAAATAATACTGAATGTTAAGTGATGGTGTTCTAACTCCAATTATTTCATGACGTTGAAGAACTGAATCCTCCTTAGCAAAAGCTGGTTACAGGCCTGACATCTTTCTGTTTTCCAACTAACTGATAGAATTCGGTGATCACTCATAGTGGTGATTAAACGTGGAAATTAGTAATTACAGGCTGTTACATCTTATTAAATTTTGGGCATGTTTTTTGGCTCGTATTATTGTACTTAATATGCTTACCTGTTCCATTTCTGGGTAGGAAAGTGTGTGGATACTAGAAACTGCAAGATTTTCCTCATCCCAGTTGATATCATAGCCTAGGAGGAATAAACAAATGAAATAACATACACAAATCATTATTCCCAAGGATGTAGTTCTACTTTATTATAATCACTCATGGACCATTTCAACATCTACCATTTATACATTGGCCCATGGGATTATAGTTTCTTATATGAGTTTTAACATTACTTTGATAAATTTTAAAATTTTAATGTATTCCTATTCATATTGTCTAAAATTGCCGCTAATGTTTTTTATAAAACTTTGGCAATCAATTGCATGTCTATTATTGTTTACTAAAGGAATAAATTTATGTATAAAAAAAAATACATTGGAAGTGGAAATAAAATAATTATACAGAGTACAATGATCCAAGTTTTCAGTGAGTAAAGTTAACAAAAATATAAAATTCATTAAATGGAGACCTACCATCAAATGCATGACTGCGTGAGTTCTGGTCTAACTGTTTACACATCTCAGGAGCTACTTTAGCAAGGAACCTGGCCAACTCAGGGGAATCATCTTGTTCTATATCATAGTCAAGATCTACACCAAGATCTGTCTGAATCTGTAATTGTATACCACATATTGCTATAACAGGCCCGTAGCCGGATTTGTCAAGTGGGGGTTCAGTTTTCAAAAATTTCCAGGGGGGGGGGGTTCACATTTGACAATTTTGGCCCAAATATGGCTAAAATCACTTGAGAAGTGTTCAAAATGGTGAAAAACTGCATGATTTTGAAAGAATTTTTGGCCAGGGGGGGGGGGTTCGCCCGAACCCTGCGAACCCCCCCTGGCTACGGGCCTGCTATAATATTATCACTCTTCAGATATCTTTACAAAACCACAGTATTTGGACTTAACCAAAATATTATCCTCTATCTATGTACAATACACAAACAGTCCTTTCAGTTAATTACATAGAAAAAGAATGAGTTGCAAAACAATTCAATTAATGTTCATCACATTCTCCGATCACAGGGCTTCAAAATCCAGAATATATTCTTCCTTTTTACCCCCTGAGATAAGCAGTTAGCATTTCCCCTATTAAGAACTCGCAATCTGATTGGCTGTCGCAACACTGCGACAGAAATCATGTATACATGTAAGTCATTGCGCATAATTAGATCACGTGATTCAGTTTAATCGGGCGCTTTCAAATTGGTTATAGCAGGGGGAAGAAGAAGGTACGGATTCTGGACACCTGCTTAGGAGGATGTGTTCATAAACACCCTACTTTGTTTTAAAATTTTGATTTTGTAAAGTCTTATTGCTTATCATCATCTTTCTTACTTCAACATCAGCACGTTCAATGGCCTGAACCTCACTCTCCTCAGTTTGTAAGTCCCTCGTCTGACATCCTTGCTCCGACACTAGTCTAGAAACAAACAGAAGTGATTACAAAAGTTATGGATATATCGCGATGAAGTAAAGCACAAAAAGGCCCACTACCATAATTTGAGGCCCAAAAAAATGGGCCCACCCAAGGGGGGGCATCTCCCCCTGGATCCTCCAATGCAAAGTGACGACCATTTCAATTGAATTTGTACTGGTGAGTGGACCACTCACTCAGTCACTGTGACTGTCACTGTGTCACCTCAATTTTTATTTTATTTTTTAAATGTTCACCTTTCTTTGCGCCATGCTGATCCGAATTCCACTGGATCCAAACTCTCGTCAGCAAACATTTATATTTTAGAAGTGTCTAACATAATAATTAGGTAAGATATTCTTAAATAATCGGCTATAATCAGCAATTTAGCTTTTACGGGCACCTGTTATTTGTTGTGGTGCCGAACAGACAGACTGGTATTTATTTCCAACTAATCTGAAACGAAATCAAAGATTAAATTAAAAATGAATTGATCTAATGATAAATATCTGAAGTCAAATCGGAATTTCAAACATTATTTATGATTTAAAGTAAAAGTATTCTAAAAATATGTGTTTAAAATCAAATTAAAGGTACAAATTCGTGTACTCAAAAGTTTTTATTCTAGTGACAACCCTTGAGTATAAATATGCTCCCAGCATGCATTGCGGGCAGAAGTTCGCAAATGGCGTAACGTACAGCTAGTTGAGAAACAAAGCAAAACAAATCCACCGTCATCCTCTACTCCGATGCTATTTGGCATCTTCTTTTGCATCTGTAGTGATCATTGAACAGTCCAAGCCAAGACATCGCTATGTATGATCCAGAAGAAGGTATATTTTGTTCTAATTTTTGCTTCGAAATACTTGTATCTATTTTTATGGGAATTTTTCTTTATCAATTTTCAGGCCTTAGATTTATATGTTCCCAAAATGTTCAACCTTTTCTAATTTAAAAAAACTATGTTATATGCAAAATTTGATATAACCTCTGAAAATGCAAATGCTTGGTTTATGTGCTTTAGTGTTGTGCTTCTAAAATGATGTCAAATTCCAAATCTAGAAAGAATATCTTGTCTTGTCGTGACGAAACATATATCATAAACTTGACAATAAAAACAAAGGCTGTTTTACAATTTTTCAGAGCAGATGTATGAGGATGAAGATCATGATGATATCACAGCTGATTTGTGGCAGGAGGCGTGTTGGATTGTCATATCTTCCTACTTTGACGAAAAGGGTCTCGTACGTCAACAGCTTGATTCTTTCGATGAGTTCATCCAGATGTCTGTGCAGCGTATTGTGGAAGACTCCCCTCCCATAGACCTACAGGCAGAGGCTCAGCATTCTTCTGGCACCATTGACAACCCTGTATGTGTTTCACTGCTTCTAGTTACTTACCCTTTGCATTCCTTCAACTTGGCTTCTTAAAAAGAGAGCTTCGACTTCATATAACTATGTGCGCAGGGTACTAGTTATTGTAAAAGAACTTATGTATGATCAATATAATTGATCCTTATTAACTTAATCTGAAAGTGTTATTGTCAACTTTTAGAATATCGCATTAACATGATTGTTTTAAAGTCTTCAGTTCAGTTAAGATAGTCTTGGATAGAAATTTCAAATGTGAGAAAAGTCTTGCAACAAATACATTTATTGGCCATTTTGCTTTCAGCCCCGATATCTTCTTAAGTTTGAGCAGATTTACCTGTCCAAACCGACCCATTGGGAGAAAGATGGAGCCCCTAGTCCTATGATGCCCAATGAAGCAAGATTGAGGAATTTAGTGTAAGCTCTTGAAAATAAAACACAAATTTAAATACAACAATAGAGCAGTGTTGTTGTGATAGAAACTGCTTCCAGGATATAAATTTACATACAATTTTTGTCAATATTTTCCAGGTATTCTGCCCCATTATATGTAGACATCACAAAGACAGTAATAAAGGAGGGTGAAGACCCTGTTGAGACCCAACATCAGAAGACATTCATAGGCAAAATACCAATCATGTTGAGGTCTACTTACTGCCTATTGAATGAACTGACAGATCGTGATTTGACAGAGTTGAACGAATGCCCACTTGATCCTGGTGGATATTTTGTCATCAATGGATCTGAGAAAGTCCTCATCGCACAAGAGAAAATGGCAACTAACACAGGTAACAGAATTTTGTATTCTCCAGTCATTAAACAAGTGCAGTAGAATCATTTTTGGTCTTGCCTTGTTTGCAGAAAGGGAATATTTGCTCAAAGAAATTCAGATGAGCCTAGAACAATGAACCATTAGCATTTCTAATAATAACTTTTTTGTAGATTTTGACAAAATTTGTCCTTTATTTCAGTGTATGTGTTCCAACAGAAAGATTCAAAGTATGCTTACAAGACAGAAATTAGGTCATGTCTAGAACACTCATCTCGTCCTACCAGTACATTGTGGGTGAACATGATGGCTAGAGGTGGTTCGGTAAGTGATGGTCAAGTGGGGAGGTGTGATATTTTAACTAACTGGATGTACAGATGTTGGTTATTAGTGAAGATCTATGACTGACAATCTGCAAAAACAACATTAACTTTAGCTTGGAAGGAATAGTTTTTACCAAGAATGGTTACCCAAAACATGGTTTAATTTGTTGCTCTTGAGATTATGATATCCTATTCTTCATCTTGATTCACAGTGATTCTAAGCTCAACAGGACTGATCAAGAGCCAGAAATTCTAGCAATTTATTTTGAAAAATTACATAATAGTAAGTAAAAAGCTTCTATAGAATATAAATAATATATAATGATAAAACTATCATAATGTAAAGCACTACTTTTATTAGATCCATATGCTTTATATATGTTTTTTCCATTTGTTTTTAGGGAGTAAAAAAGAGTGCTATTGGGCAGAGGATCATAGGTATCCTCCCCTATATCAGACAGGAAGTACCAATCATCATTGTATTCAGAGCTCTCGGCTTTGTGTCTGATAGAGATATTCTAGAGCATATCATATACGACTTTGATGACCCAGAAATGATGGAAATGGTAAGTTGTAAAAAAAGTCTGGATATGAAATGTATATAGAAATACGGTTTAGGCCATTCTTCCAGTAATTCAAATCTCATTTTGTTTTGAAGTTCTTTGATTTATACAGCTTTATGATGTAAAATATCAATGGCTTTCATCTCTGTAATATCATTATATTTTTTCAAATTTTCCCCATCAGGTCAAGCCTTCCCTTGATGAAGCCTTTGTGATACAAGAGCAGAATATTGCTCTCAACTTCATAGGAGCCAGGGGTCTCCATTAAATCATTATATTTTTTCAAATTTTCCCCATCAGGTCAAGCCTTCCCTTGATGAAGCCTTTGTGATACAAGAGCAGAATGTGGCTCTCAACTTCATAGGAGCCAGGGGTCTCCATTAAATCATCATATTTTTTCATATTTTCCCCACCAGGTCAAGCCTTCCCTTGATGAAGCCTTTGTGATACAAGAGCAGAATGTGGCTCTCAACTTCATTGGAGCCAGGGGTGCCAGGCCAGGTGTAACCAAAGAGAAGAGGATCAAATATGCTAGAGAGGTGCTTCAGAAAGAAATGTTGCCTCATGTTGGTGTCAGTGACTTCTGCGAAACAAAGAAGGCATATTTCCTTGGGTATGAAATTGTCTCTGTATTATGGTTTTATCTGGGATTATGCGATAAATAGATGGAAAGGATTATGTTTAGAAATAAAAAATTCTCTGATAATTTTTTTTTCAAGACAGAAATGGAATTCTTTGATTTAAAAACTCTTATTATGAGGGTGAATATGGCAGAAATACATACATTGTATACAAGCAAGATTTTATTGCTAGATCTAGGTTTTTTAGGAAATTCAATAAAGATCAATTCAGTCCTCCATTCAAATATTGCCTTTGTTCAGTCCTTATCAGATGTATTTTATATTCTAAAAGTAATTTGTTATATTTCAGATACATGGTTCATCGTCTGTTGCTAGCTGCATGTGGACGACGAGAGGTTGACGATCGTGATCACTATGGTAACAAGAGACTTGATTTGGCTGGTCCGTTGTTAGCATTCTTGTTTAGAGGGTATGTCTAATATATTCTAGTTTATTTAAAAAAATTAACCATTTGAAAATTGACTTATTTTAGCATTTGTTACATTCTTCTGATGATTAAAATCTTATTTTGTTTCAAGACGGAAATGATATCTTTTGATGATTTTAAAACTTCTATGAGGAAGAATAGTTCAGAATTTTTATTTAATGAAAAGTTACATTTTACAGTTTCTTCTCAACCAAATATAGATAAATGTAGCCTAGCCTTTGTACAATAAGCTGAACAACTTGTTTTAACTTTTTTGTAGCTTGTTCCGTAACTTGATGAAGGAGGTAAGAATGTACGCTCAGAAGTTCATAGATCGTGGTAAAGATTTTAATCTCGAGTTGGCTATCAAGACACGTATCATCACTGATGGTCTCAAATACTCACTGGCTACTGGCAATTGGGGTGACCAAAAGAAAGCTCATGCTGCCAGAGCTGGTGTATCACAGGTGTTAAACAGGTACGCTCTTATAGCTGGTATAATTTGCATAAATTACTGTTTTGTACTTTGTTTATTTGCTCTTGAGATGATGATATTCTATTCTTCATCTTGATTCACCATGATTCTAAGCTCAACAGGACTGATCAAGAGCCAAAGATTATACAGAATGGAAATGTCAATTCTCAATGTGAACTATTGCAATTTCCTCTGATTTTATAATTTTTATAATACCTTCATTGTGTTTAACTCCAGACTGACCTTTGCCTCCACATTGTCTCATCTGAGACGTCTGAACTCTCCCATTGGACGTGACGGTAAACTAGCCAGACCTAGGCAGCTTCATAATACACTTTGGGGCATGATCTGCCCTGCGGAGACCCCTGAGGTAAGTTAGAGAACGCTTTAGTTAAAAAATCTTTAGGACAACACTAAGTCAGAAAAATGATTTGAATTTTAAAGATATTTCCCAGTGTTGACATAGGCATGGACTACATTTAATTCTAAAATATCTTTGGAAGAACAATAAGATGTAAAATGTGATTTGTCACACTTCCTCCGATGATTATAAACTTCCATTTGTTTCAAGACGGAGCTGAATATATTGATTATAAACTTCAGAATGAGGAGGTAAATAGACACTAAGATAGATGAAAAAGCAGACTCAAATCAATAACTTGATAAATAGTGACATAAAAGTAAAAATACAATTTTTAATTTTCAGGGTCAAGCTGTAGGCCTGGTAAAGAACTTAGCTCTGATGGCCTATATATCTGTGGGTTCCCAGCCCTCCCCCATCTTAGAGTTCTTGGAGGAGTGGAGCATGGAGAACCTGGAGGAGATCTCTCCCTCTGGTATTGCAGAGTGAGTTATGTTTATACATAATCTTTTTTCCTTTCAAGTTTTAACTACTGGCTTTCATTTTTGGCAGTATTTATTTGTTCAATAAAAACCGAGTTTAAAATAAATATAATTTACTTCATTGCTCTTGAGATGATGATATCCTATTCTTCATCTTGATCCAACATGATTCTAAGCTCAACAGGACTGATCAAGGGCCATAAATTATAATTATAACATACCTATGATGATGTATAGTGCAAAGTGTACACAAGACAGCGGGCCAATATAAGTTTCGGAAAGCCCGCGCCCGCTAACTTTCTGATTGGTCAAGGCGCTGACGTCATAACCAATCAATCAAAGATAAAACTGCGCGAGCAATTTTTCTAAACTCATTTCAATCATTTTCAAACCATTTATTTGTCAATTCTTTAAGAAAATGGTACTCTCTGACCAGTCTACATCATCATAGGCATGTTATAAATCGTTTATGTCACTATCGTGGCACATGTGCCCTCGGTTCTCAGAGATCAATGTCCCTCCCAAGGTCGGGCCATATATCACTGAGACCTCGGGCATATATGCCACGATAGTGACATAACCTCTAAATATTGTATAGTACTATATATGTTACTTGTAGTGATATCAAATAAGTGTCGCACACTTTTGAATATTCAAAAATTGTATGACGTCATGTTAAATAAATGTTTGCACAATGTAAAAAAAGAAAAAGTATCGAGATATTGTGACCAAATCACATTAAACTCCCTGTTAAGAAAAAATCCTGGAGAGATCCCTTGAATATGTTAGTATAAAACTATATACTTAAGTGAGCAGCTTACTGTTACATTGTAATTGTGGTCCAAGATTTATTGAAAGGACTGATTGAAATATTGTTCATGTTTCTAGTGCCACAAAGATCTTTGTGAATGGTTGCTGGGTTGGTATCCATAGAGACCCTGAACAATTGATGAGCACACTGAAGAAATTGCGTAGACAGATGGACATCATTGTATCTGAGGTAAGGGTCCTTCCTATTCATATGTAGAGCTATGAACTTATTTTTTATTTTTGTTAGGATTATAACCTCCAATGATTATAAACCCCATTTGTTTCAAGACGGAGCTGAATGTATTGATTATAAACTTCAGAATGAGGAGGTTATTAGCTGATTAATGGTACTGTACTGGTACACAAAATATGAATAAATTGGTGAAATGATACAATGTATTCAAAATGCTATTGCTAGGTTTCTATAGTGATACAATATATTCAAAATGCTATTGCTAGGTTTCTATAGTGATGCAATATATTCATAATGCTATTGTTAGGTTTCTATGGTGAGAGACATCAGGGATCGTGAAATCCGTATCTACACAGATGCTGGACGTATTTGTCGTCCTCTACTCATTGTGGAGAATCAGAAACTCTTACTAAAAAGGTCTCACATCAACAACCTGAAAGAACGAGAATACAATAATTACAGGTACATTCAAATTAAGATTCAAGAGATTATTGTTATTGTTAAATGGATTACTGCTCTTGAAATGATGATATTCTTTTCTTCAACTTGATTCACCGTGATTCTAAGCTCAACAGGACTGATCAAGAGCAAGCTTTCTAATTTGAATTAATTTAAACATGCAAAGGTGATTACCATGAAGAAACTACTTTAGAACCTAAAAAATAAGGCAGAGTATGGTACATTTTACACCTGTGTTATATTGCAGTTGGCAGGACTTAGTTGCTAGCGGTGTGGTAGAATACATAGATACGCTAGAGGAAGAATGTATTATGGTTGCCATGACACCCGATGACCTCCAGGACAAGTCTAGTGCCTATTGCTCCACCTATACTCACTGTGAAGCACATCCTTCAATGATCTTGGGTGTTTGTGCTTCCATTATTCCATTCCCAGATCACAATCAGGTAAATTATCCAAGTCAACCAGTGAAAATAAATCTTACTTAATTTCTTTTATAAGTTTAAACCCTTTAGAATTCATGAATTAATTTTTGAAATGACTTGTGTCTTCACAAGAGATGATAATACCCTATTCTCTAATGGATTCACTACGATTCTTCACTACGATCACAACAAGACTGATCAATAGCCAACATTTATTACATTTTAATAAATGATCGAAAAAATAACAGTTTTTTTTGTCTGTAGATACAACCATTCTCAGAGAAAATGCTGAAATAAATGTTTATCAATAATTAAAACACAATTAAAACCAGATTCATTTTTTCTAACAGACCTTACCTATATGCTTTCAGTCTCCACGTAACACATACCAAAGTGCTATGGGTAAGCAAGCTATGGGTGTGTATATCACAAACTTCCATGTACGTATGGACAGTCTTGCAAATGTCCTCTACTACCCTCAGAAACCTCTGGTCACAACAAGATCTATGGAGTACCTCAAGTTCAGAGAGCTCCCTGCAGGTTAGTGCTCTTCACCGTCTTCATTTCAACATTAGGGAGTTTAAGCTTGCAATGTTTTTCACAACCTAAACTTGAAAATATTAAGCGATGCAATTGTATAGGCAATTGGTCATACATATAGGTTAGCGTTTCGATTTTATATGCAAGCTTAAACTCCCTATTATTGTATCAGGGCGACTTGTGAAATATATTATATTAGAAAGCTGTAGCTCAGCAGGACTGACCAATGGCAATTGAAAATATGACATCTCAGCCATAGAATTTGGTTCTCTTATATCACATTATAAATTAGTTTCCAACCAAATCCAGACTACTCCTGCTCTTATCTAGAGGTCAGATATCAACTGTTATTTGCTTGTTCACTCTGAACTGTAGACTTGTTTTTCCTCGATTGTGTGTATTCCTCTTCAAAGCTGGATGTTTTACATATTGTAGGAATCAACACTATAGTTGCCATCTCAACATACACTGGATACAATCAGGAAGATTCTGTTATCCTCAATGAGTCAGCTGTAGACAGAGGATTCTTCAGGTAAAACTAATAAGCATGTCAGGGAATTTCTTTAAAATTTAGATTTTAAAGTTGAAATTCTGATAACTTTAATATGTGTATAAATTCTGATTGGGGTACTATGTCTCACAAAACATTATTTGATTGGAGATGTATTCTTGTTATATTATTTGATCTTGGCAAGTTACTATTAATCTAACTAACACATCTTGGAAAGTAAGGGTATTAAGACTTGTCTGAACTAAAAGCTTTCAAATCATTGAATCAGATTTGCCTTTGAAAGCTATTGTAATTTTTTTTTACAAAATGACTGTTTACCAAGCCTATTGCCACTTACATTCATCAATTATTTTTCAAAGGTCTGTGTTCTACCGAGCTTACAAAGATGCTGAGAGTAAGAAGGGATTTGACCAGGAAGAAGTATTTGAGAAACCCAACCCAGATACTGTGCTTGGTATGAGGCCTTCTATGTACGACAAGTTAGAAGATGATGGAATCATAGCACCAGGTATGTTATTGGGACCTTGAAACTGGATTTCCATATAATGCGACTCATTGCCTCCAATGATTATAAACCCCATTTGTTTCAAGACGGAGCTGAATGTATTGATTATAAACTTCAGAATGAGGAGGTACATGTCTACTTGTAGATTGATTCAAGATAGGGTACATTTTAACAAGAAAACTCAATATGCAATAAAATTTATATTCAGAACATTATAATATAGCCACCTCCAAATTTTGCAGTATTAGGTGGCATTGTAATAGTGAAATGCTAACACAAGTCTCATTATTTAGAAATCATCCCATTTACTGTGTGTAACATCACTGAATATCTAATTGTGTGTTTCAGGTATCCGTGTGTCTGGAGATGACATGTTACTAGGGAAGACACTAACTCTACCAGAGCAAGATGATGAACTAGAGAGTACTGCAAGGAGATACACCAAGAAGGATGCAAGTATTGGCATGAGACGCTCTGAGTATGGTATAGTAGATCAAGTGATGATCACAATCAACTCTGATGGCTACAAATTCTGTAAGATTCGTGTACGCACTGTCAAGGTTCCACAGATTGGAGACAAATTTGCTAGTCGGCATGGACAGAAAGGAACTTGTGGAATACGATACCGACAGGAGGTAAGTCTTGATTGAAACTTATAATGGGGCCTAATGTGGCATCAAAGAGCAAAGCAGAATCCAAAATATTTGTTTTATTTTGTAATTGTTTGTTCACTGTACATGTAGTTTATTTTCTGCTGTTATATTATGAAGTTGATGGTGTATTTCAAATAAAATAAAATAAGCCCATTTATGACAGTCAATGAATTTTCCATTGCAGGACATGCCATTCACAGTTGAGGGTATTACCCCAGACATCATAGTGAACCCCCACGCTATCCCTAGTAGAATGACAATTGGACATTTAATTGAGTGTCTGCAGAGCAAGGTGTCTGCTAACAAGGGAGAGATTGGAGATGCTACACCATTCAATGACACTGTCAATGTACAGAAGATCTCCAAGCTGCTTCAGGAGTATGGCTATCATCAGAGAGGCAATGAGGTAAGTGCATCCATATTAGATGAATGACCTGATGTGGCAGGGGGAGAATATGAAATAAATGAAATGCTTGTAAGCCTCTTGAGATGATGATATCCTATTCTTCAACTTGATGAACCTCTGCTCGAGAAGGAATTTTCAAAATGGCCGTAAAAATGTAATCTTTGATTACTCTAATACTAGTAGATAGATTTGGTTCAAATTGTATGCGCTGATGCCTAGTGACAAAGGAGCTATGCTGAAGAGATTTTCGAGATGGCTGCTGAATTTCAAAATGGCGGCTATTTTTCATAAAAAACGTAATCTTTGATAACTCAAATACCAGTGAATGGATTTGGTTCAAATTTTATATGATGATGCCTAGGGACAAAGTAGATTTGTTCAAGAAAGAATTTTCAAGATGGCGGGTGAATTTCAAAATGGCCCCCATTTTTCATAAAAAATGTAATCTTTGATAACTCAAATATTAGTTCACGGATTTGGTTCAAATTTTATATGCCGATGTCTAGGGACAAAGGAGTACCCTGAAGAATAGATTTTCAAAATGGCTGCTAAATATCAAAATGGCGGCCATTTTTCCTAAAAAGTGTAATCTTTGATAACTCAAATAGCAGTGAATGGATTTTTTTGAAATTTTATATGCTGATGCCTAGGGACACAGTAGCTTTGTTCGAGAAAGATTTTCAAAATGGCCGCTGAATTTCAAAATGGCTGCCATTTTTCGTAAAAAAGAAATGTAATCTTTGATAACTCAAATGCTAATTGATTGATATGGTTTACATTTTATATGTTGATGCCTAGTAGGGGTGAGACGAGTCGAAAAAATCCGATTCGAGTCGAATCCGATTCGAGTCAGAAAATGACGATTCGAGTTTCGAATCCGTTTCGAGTCGCGCGAAGTGCGAACAACATCGCTTTTGACCGTTCGTATTTTTAATGCGTCAATGGTGGAAAGCCGGAAATATAAACAAACACAATTCGTCATAAGTTTATTCTGATTTTATTACATATATTCTTTCATTTATGTGTACATACAATATAATAATTTAATACAAGCATATCCAAGTCATTGAAACTTATATATTCAACGCAATATCGAGTAAAAACATGCATATTGACAGTATTTTTCTGAATTTTTTTATTTTTTCAAATTTTTTTCTCAACTCGAAAATGATTCGATTCATCAACTTCGACTCGATTCGACTCGACTCGAAGTTTCAAACCCGCGAGTCCTCGACTCATCGGGTTGTCGTCTCACCCCTAATGCCTAGGGACAAACAAGTTCTGCTCAAGAAGGAATTTTTTCTAGTTTAATATAAAAATGTTGTTTGCATAAAGGCTTGATTTTAGATTAACATAGTTATATAGACATTTCCAGGTGATGTACAATTTTTATATGTTCAAGAACAATGAACTTTAGTTTTGCATTATATTGACCTAATTTCCAGGTGATGTACAATGGTCATACAGGTAGGAAGATCGTCTCTCAGGTATTCCTGGGCCCCACATACTACCAGCGTCTCAAACATATGGTAGATGACAAGATACACAGCAGAGCCAGGGGACCTTTACAGATTCTCAACAGACAGCCTATGGAGGGGAGATCTAGGTGAGATATTAAAGCACTTTTCTTGTCACAAATTTATTCAAGGTCAAGTGTCTTCTGTTAAACCAACAGTTGTATTGCTCTCTTGAAATGATGATATCCTATTCTTCAACTTGATTCACCATGATTCTAAGCTCAACAGGACTGATCAAGAGAAACTAAACACAGTAAACATATTTTAAACAGTGGCTCTTACATCGACACCCAATGCGGCATCAATGTCTCTCATATGAAAACACATGACATATGAAAGGTGTAACTGAGAGCAACAATTGGAAAACCAGACAACCCCATATTAATAATTCAATTTTTTATGTCACCACCAGAAGTGGTCTGTAACAAATGGCAGATAGTGACATTTTGCATGTTAATGCCTTGTCTTTTCTTTATCTAACTGTATATTTCTGACTTCAGGGATGGTGGTTTACGTTTCGGTGAGATGGAGCGTGATTGTCAGATTGCTCATGGTGCTGCCCAGTTCTTGAAAGAGAGGTTATTTGAGGCATCTGATGCCTATAGAGTACATGTCTGTAATCTTTGTGGACTGATATGTATTGCCAACCTGCGAAATCAGACATTTGAATGCAGAGGTTGTAAGAACAAAACTCAGGTATGTTGGCATTATAAGTACTGTTGTCCCAATTTACGTTGGAAATGCAATTTTTTGAAGACGTGATAAAAATGTATACCGTTTTGATAACACTTTAAATTATACTGTGGTAACAAGTCAGTTCATGACCATAAAATCAAAAATGCTCTTGAGGTGATGATATCCTATTCTTCAACTTGATTCCCCGTGATTCTAAGCTCAACAGGACTGATTAAGAGCATGATTGAAAGTGATCTTTAAAGTGCTGGTAAATGGAATGTCAATTCTATGAAGTATAATTCTTTCATTTTCTTTTTGATTGTAGATCTCACAGGTAAAGATGCCATATGCCTGCAAGCTGCTCTTCCAGGAGTTGATGTCTATGAGCATTGCACCCAGGATGATGGTAGAAGGGACAGCTAGGATATAGGCCAGGTGTACAGTGTGATGATCCTCACACCAGGACTTAACTATAGACCAGCTTGTGGTAAATGCCAGCTAGGATATATAGGCCAGGTGTACAGTGTGGTAAACCACTAGAACATTACTTATAGACCTGCTGGTAGAGCATGTGGTGCATGCCACATTAAGATCCTCGCAGACTGGTGATTGGTCCATAAAGACCATAATACTTATAGACCTATAACACCAAACACCAAGTTATGTCACATTAACTGTGATTTAACGATGTGACAATTGTGAGATCTGGAAGATTTCTGTATTTCTGAAGCATATACAGTGTTGACACATGTCCTTGTACAATGAATGTGATTGGGAAGCTATAAAATTGACATTCAGCTGTTTAGTGATCTGTAATACATGTACTATGTATCTGACAATTGATGGAGGATGTAGTGTGCTACAGTTGCTTCCTTATAAAGGAGGACATTTGGTTCCATGATTAAGAACATTCAGTGGCTACATATTTTATACTAAAATACCACATAGGTAAAATCAGTGGAATTGAGGACAACAAAAGTCTTGGAATGCATGTAACACTATCTCATAAACAAGATTTCAAAACCTGCTGGGAAAGCAGTCAAGTTGTAAATTAGCAGTTAATACATTTGTGCAATGTTATATTTTGTAACCATGAACCAAAATTAATCAAGATTATGATACACTTGAATTTTACTGTCATAAGTTAGAATGTACTCTCTAAAAAACAGCTGTTTTAAGAGGTGCACTACCTTTCCTGAAGGTCCAAAAATATGATAACTTTTCCATACATAGCTCATTCTGTTCATCTCTCTCTCTTGATATGAATGTGTTTTCTATTTTATTTGGCTGTTGCAATTATCAATTTTAATAGAATTTGATTTTCAGCATTTAGATGGGATCGAGCTCATGAGATTGAATGATTTTGATCGTGAAAGGTGCCGATCTGATCCTTAGGATTTGATGTAAATAGTGCATAAAATGAATTTTATAAAAAATAAATATATTTTGTAAATATTTTACATTGTATTATTTTATGAACTTAGGGCTGGCATGGAACAGAATTGGAAGGAATTTCAGACTGAATGTCCATATGAGTTTTATAGCTATTTACTGAACTTGTCAATAATTGGCGTAATGTACCTAAGTTATTTTAAAAGGTATGAAATATATAAAAGCAATTATGAATCATTTATCACATAAAATAACTCAAACAAGTGAACATTTTAATATTTACATACTGTATGTATTTATCAATTTCGTTTCATTCCTGCTCGCTATCGCGAGTTGGCAAGTGTTCATTATTAATTAAAGAAATAAAAACCCGACTAGATTTCAAAGCATCTATATTTTTCAGAAGTTTTCAGGCCTTTTTGAGAAGCTATCTTCCATATCTCTTTAGCAATTTGTTTGATATGTTCCTACTATCTCTGCAGATCAATGTATTCTCAGTGATAAACTCTCGACTACCTGAAATGACGAGACTTCTCGTCACCTCAGAAATGACGTTGAAACCCAGAGTGATGAGAAAATCTCTCAAAATTTTTCACTAAAATTGGTCCTTTTTGAACAATTTTCATCCAATTTACTCAGAAATTGTTTAAGAATGTGAAGAAATGAACTCAGTCGTGTAATTTTACTAAGTTGAGCATCTAAAGTTGCAAAGGTATGTCGTAAAATGTCAAAAGATGGCAAAAATGAAAGATTCTCTGGATTCAACCGATTTTAAAGCCTGAGATACAAGAGGTCCCACTGCATGGGAAATTACATACTTTTGAAATTAAAAATTAAATCAATTTCTTTACAAATTTTCTTGTAACTTAACACACGTTTCTTCAAAAAAGATAAAAGTAAGATATATCTGCAGGAGAGAACACCATAGCACTGAACAAATTGCTTGGAGATTTTATGCCCAACATGATATATCGCCCGTCAGCCCAGAAAGTTTCATAAAGTGAGAAGTCCGTTATCCAGGTTTCAGTTTTATCAGTCATATTGACTCTTTGAATGTACGAGGCCCGATCAGAAAGTAAGTAACCAACTGCTCTCATTTTTTCATACTTCATTCAATCACATTGATTTTTTCACAGATGATGTAGAAAATATAAACCTATTAAAGAAGACCAAGGACAATGGGTTAGCGTCAATGCCATTGTTATGGCTGTTGCTATGGTGATGATTGTTTTGGGTAGGTGGGGCACCCTTTTGTAAGCGGCTTTGGAAGATGGTTTGTTGAGTTTTTTACATGCCATATTCCTCCAAATGACCTAACATTTTTTATGCAAGACTGAATAATTTGTTTCATGTATTATCACAATGGTAACTACGCTCCATTGCCCCATTTATAAGTCATCGACACAAAGATATCAAGGGTATATCTGTCATAATGATGGTCATGATTCAGTCACAGTTTCAATCCAGTCAAATGTTGTTGAAGGGGGATTTTACTGGCATGATGACAATGGTCCACCTCCACAGAGCCAACATTACCAAAGATATAGCCTTTTCCATGGCCACACAACTACCCCAGGCTCACTATTCCCCAGACCTGGCTCCACGTGACTATATTCTTTCCAAATGCAAAGATGTTATTATGAAGAGTCCGTTTGGACAGAAATAAGGCCATCATTAAAGCTTTCAATAGCAGTTTGCAGTCATTGAATGGCGCCATGTTGAACTTCATTAAGGACTGAGTGAAACATTGCCTTAATCGCATTGACTTTGGTGGCAATTAATTTGAAGGACTATGTGTTAAAATGTAGTCTTACATTTGAATTTGATATATTTGGAGGTATTACAACATGTAGAAAAACTCTACAAATTATCTCAAACGCCACTTAAAACAGGGTGCCCCACCTACCCAAAACAATTGTCGCCACAGTAACAGCAATAACAATGGAATTGACGCTAACCTATTGTCCTAGGTCATCTTTAATAGGTTAATATTTTCTACATAATCTGTGAAAATTTCAATGTGATTGAATAAAGTATGAAGAAATGAGAGCAGTTGGTTACTTACTTTCTGATCGGGCCTCGTACATCACAATTTTTAAAACACTGGGTGTTTCAAATAACATTTCATGGCCTTGCAATATAATCTTAAAATCAAATCAAACGCTTGCGACGACACTATTCAACAAGTTGGCAAGAGGTCATAAACTGTTCATCAGTTAATTGTCAGTGACAAGTTATAACACAAATGAATATATTATCACAATATCCAAACATGGAGGTGACCCTTGTGAAACTCCATGATTCCAATCAGTTCGTTTTCCATCACATCAAGATGATACAATTTTACATCCACACATCTGATCATTTGGGTAAGAATCTATCCAAGCACCTTTGTCTATACATCAATAACAGACTGCGTTCATCAATTCAAGGTAACAATTCATATTCTTTGCTCATGCTGTGTTCAAGCTTGTCTCCAAAAGCTACTCTTCTACCCACTCTTCTAGCATAAGAATCATGGGACAATGTGTTTTGAATCATATTTTCCAATGCCACAGAGTTCAGTTCTCATAGAGTATGTTGACCTCCTTCAACAGTTGTTCTCCCTTCTCTCCAGCCTGTTTACAGTAGAACTCTGATGCCACCTTGTTGCCCAAGTTCATCATTAGCCTACCATACTCCAGGTACACTGCCTCAAATAGACTCCCTGTAGCAAAAATATATGAAGTTCAGTATCATGCCATAATTTACAATATATAAACCTATTAAAGAAGACCAAGGACAATGGGTTAGCGTCAATGCCATTGTTATGGCTGTTGCTATGGTGATGATTGTTTTGGGTAGGTGGGGCACCCTTTTGTAAGCGGCTTTGGAAGATGGTTTGTTGAGTTTTTTACATGCCATATTCCTCCAAATGACCTAACATTTTTTATGCAAGACTGAATAATTTGTTTCATGTATTATCACAATGGTAACTACGCTCCATTGCCCCATTTATAAGTCATCGACACAAAGATATCAAGGGTATATCTGTCATAATGATGGTCATGATTCAGTCACAGTTTCAATCCAGTCAAATGTTGTTGAAGGGGGATTTTACTGGCATGATGACAATGGTCCACCTCCACAGAGCCAACATTACCAAAGATATAGCCTTTTCCATGGCCACACAACTACCCCAGGCTCACTATTCCCCAGACCTGGCTCCACGTGACTATATTCTTTCCAAATGCAAAGATGTTATTATGAAGAGTCCGTTTGGACAGAAATAAGGCCATCATTAAAGCTTTCAATAGCAGTTTGCAGTCATTGAATGGCGCCATGTTGAACTTCATTAAGGACTGAGTGAAACATTGCCTTAATCGCATTGACTTTGGTGGCAATTAATTTGAAGGACTATGTGTTAAAATGTAGTCTTACATTTGAATTTGATATATTTGGAGGTATTACAACATGTAGAAAAACTCTACAAATTATCTCAAACGCCACTTAAAACAGGGTGCCCCACCTACCCAAAACAATTGTCGCCACAGTAACAGCAATAACAATGGAATTGACGCTAACCTATTGTCCTAGGTCATCTTTAATAGGTTAATATTTTCTACATAATCTGTGAAAATTTCAATGTGATTGAATAAAGTATGAAGAAATGAGAGCAGTTGGTTACTTACTTTCTGATCGGGCCTCGTACATCACAATTTTTAAAACACTGGGTGTTTCAAATAACATTTCATGGCCTTGCAATATAATCTTAAAATCAAATCAAACGCTTGCGACGACACTATTCAACAAGTTGGCAAGAGGTCATAAACTGTTCATCAGTTAATTGTCAGTGACAAGTTATAACACAAATGAATATATTATCACAATATCCAAACATGGAGGTGACCCTTGTGAAACTCCATGATTCCAATCAGTTCGTTTTCCATCACATCAAGATGATACAATTTTACATCCACACATCTGATCATTTGGGTAAGAATCTATCCAAGCACCTTTGTCTATACATCAATAACAGACTGCGTTCATCAATTCAAGGTAACAATTCATATTCTTTGCTCATGCTGTGTTCAAGCTTGTCTCCAAAAGCTACTCTTCTACCCACTCTTCTAGCATAAGAATCATGGGACAATGTGTTTTGAATCATATTTTCCAATGCCACAGAGTTCAGTTCTCATAGAGTATGTTGACCTCCTTCAACAGTTGTTCTCCCTTCTCTCCAGCCTGTTTACAGTAGAACTCTGATGCCACCTTGTTGCCCAAGTTCATCATTAGCCTACCATACTCCAGGTACACTGCCTCAAATAGACTCCCTGTAGCAAAAATATATGAAGTTCAGTATCATGCCATAATTTACATATACTTGCCAACAAACAACATGTTTTTATGGGATCTAAAAAATTGTGCTTAGATATAATAATGCTGGAGTTTTTTGAAGGATTCTTAATTTTTGTGTCAGAAGAGTATATTTTACAACATGTATATTATCATGATTGTATATTACATGGAGTAAACGCATATCTAGCCTAGAAGTTGTAAACAGACATTATCAAAATTAAGCATATACTTCCAGAACTTACTGTTTGTATCAGTCTTTGTGATGAGACCAAATTCTAGGCAGGCCTCAAGGAAAAGAGCTGCCCTGTCAAAGTGCCTGCACTGGTACAGCATCTCTATTACTTTGGTGAACCTACATAGCGACAGTAACACCAACACTGCCTTGCTCTGAAATAACAACAGATATAAAGCTATTGATGTGAAGGTAATAAGTTGAACTAAAATCGAAATAGCCATCTCAACTGATGAGGTGAGGTCACCAGTGATTTATCATTTTTTGTGTGAATTAAGTTATCTCGAATCAATGACTTTTTAAACATCAAATCAATTAATTAATTGTAATTTTCGCATTCCAGAACATTTTCTGAAAACATAAGATGATCATGTGTCCAATACCTTTTGGTTGACTTGTGAACTCGCTAAATGGTCCGCCCATCGTCTCATGACCTCACAACTCTCCGTGTATGAAAGTGATGATTTGGCAAGCCAGGCTGCCTGGTACCATTGACCATATGTTTGGAGATACCTACATGCATCAACAGCTTTGTCTATAAGACACAACAGCTGGACACCCTCTGGAAACAGAAAACATGAATGCTAATTCAATAGTTCCCCCTTTGTAGCATGCAACAGACATTTTTCTCTCATTGTTTTCTACCAAAATCATCTGTTGTATTGAGGAATTTTATTAGCCTTTGTGCTAATATTCATGATAATTGTAAATCTTGTAAGGATCAATGCTGTTACCACCTTACACATTGTAATGCTCTTTAACAACATAACATCATAGTCTTAATTAAATAAGATGTCAAGAAAGCAAGTAACACCAAGAAAGAGAATTATGTTTTAATAAACACACAGTATTCCTTAAATACCTGATAGCTTTCCATTGGCAATAAGATTTGTCGCGACTAGCTTAATTGTACTCTGTGATGCTCCTGAGGATCTGACACTGGCTACAAGACAGGCTCGCAGTGAATCCACGTAATAACCATCATTCTCTGCATCAGTCTCTAACAGGAGCTGTACAGCCCTGTCTGCCTGGCCTAGTAAGATGAGGGTTTCTACACTCTTTCTTGTGTGTTCATATGTGGCTCTTTTACTATCATGTAATGAAACACGATCTAGTTCCTTTTGCTGAAACAGATAGTCACTTACATATATATACTTACATGTATATAAAAAATAAATAACCGATTTTGATTTTATCTGCCTTTAAAAGTTAATAGGTGATTTTGGCGACATACTTGTTTACACTTTAAGTATTTTGATTATCCCTATTAACATTACAAAATCCTCAAACCTGGAAGCTTTTGTTATCAATGAGGACATCATAGCAGGTCTCTAGTGGTTTGTCTTTGATGAAGCTCCATTCTAGTGTTGATTTATCCTCCAATTGTACAAGATCTTGGCTCTCTGCACGAGGTATAAACAGATCTCCAGAGTCTGAGTGGGACATAGGTGTAGAGACCTAGAATGGAACAAAGTAACAATGGTACAAACTACATAATGGGTGGGGAGGGGAGATCTTGGCTCTCAACATGAGTTGTGAAGAGATCTCAAGAGTGTGAGCGGTACATTCCTATATGCACAATGTATATAAGACTTTCTGAACTTGGAGCACATAAACTCCTTATGATCAATGTAGAGTTCTAAATACCACAATTGAAAGCCCAAGTACATACTTAAATATTAATACGAAAAACATTGAATGAATACAACAATCAAGTAAATGGTTATCAATCAGCTAGGTCAGCTTTCCTTCAATGTATATGATCATATGATGTATTTATCAAAAGTATGACTTAGAACGTAAAGCTTGGAATAATTGCTAAAAGACGTTTTGATTTTAATTTGCTATTCTATACATACCTTACTGGAAGGATCAGCTTTCTCAGCACGGAGATAATGTAGCGCTAGTGTCCAGAAATTCATCTCAGATTCATCTCCAAACAATCTAAGATTCCATTTAAAACAAAGTTTTATAAACGCAATGTCACAAAAATAATAACATGTCACTAAAATATTCATTAAAAAGACTTGGATTCCCAAAAAACATTTTACAAGACAGAGTATCTTTAAATATTTACTTACTTAACTACTTATACAATGACTGTTCTCAGAGTAATATATGTATTATTCTTTCTTTGATAATTGTATAAAAACATGACAAATAGGTCTTAGTGAATAAACATAGCAACAATATATGTTACCTAGCAACCAGAAGGCATCTTTGAGCTGTACCAAACTGACAGTGAGGCAAGTAGTCCAGGACATCACTGAAAATCAACAGCATAAGATTGACCAAATGTTAGCAAATCAGGTGGAACATGGTTAGTTATTAAGACAAGTGGTCCTACCGAATTGCCTATCATTAACTTCAAGTAGCAAATATTATCTTATCTTATTAATGCTGATTTTACATTCATTCACATCTCTTCCTATAGAAGAAGTGAAGCTAATAAAGAGTCTTATCGTATGATCTGTAAAATGAAGCCCTCTGATTGGTCAGTTCTTGTGCTGTACCAACCTGTATTGCTACTGAGATTGTCCCCGTTGATCATCTCCGTCGCAATACAGAAAATATTGGTACGGAGGGGAAATCTCAGAAGCAATACAGAGGATCACACGATAAAAACGTTATTGAATGATTTGAAGTGCAATACAGGGTATATTCTGTCTCAATATTCTGTATTGGCACTCGACTTCGTCTCGTTCCAATACGGAATTCTCGAGCAGAATATATCCTGTATTGCACTTCAAATCATTCAATAACTTATAATATTGTTTTCTAATGGAACAACTTTGCAAGAAATCTGTGCAATGTGAATGAAAATTTTGGACTCTTATGGGACAAAGGCACCCAATAGTGACGATCCATTGAAGATCACTGGAGTTTAATCTTAAGAGCCTATAAACATGTTTTGACCCCTCTCTTAAATATTGCATACCTCTCAAGTAGGGCTAACTGGTCATTCACTAAGGCCTGCATGTCTTTGCATTCCTCAGGCAGGTTGCTCAGTTGTAAGGTATATTTGCTGTTCCATGGCTGATGCTGTAGCGTATACTTCAATGTTAGTCCAACCTTAGGTGGTAGAAGATGTGGGCTGAACAACGGCTCTGTAAAGTAACAATAGTACAAGAACACAAATGTGTACAAAATGTCCCCACCAAGTGGTGATCCCGTGAAATGGTTATCCTGAAAATGAGTAGACAAGACTTTACCAACACAATTTGAGGACGGAAAATCCAAAGTGGCCACCTTAAAATTTACCCAGAATGCCAAAAATTTAGTCAGTTCTAGATTTTCATACTAAGAACCACCCCTGAAAATTTGAAATTGATCCGTCACACAGTTAACCAGAAAACATGTAAAGAAGATTTTTCAGACAAGATTTCAGGATGGAAAATCCAAAATGGCTGCCTTGACATTTACCAAGAATGTCAAAAAACTAATCTGTTTGTAGATTTTCATACTAAGAATCATCCCTGAAAATAGGAAATTGATCTACCAAACGGTTCATCTGAAAACGGATAGACAAGACTTTACAGACAAGATTTTAGGACAGAAAATCCAAAATGGCTGCCTTAACATTTACGCAGAATGCAAAAAAAGTAATCAGATGTAGATTTTCATACAAACAATCATCCCTGAAAATTTGAAATTGATCTATCAAACCGTTCACCTAAAAACGCGTAGACAAGACTTTACAGGCAAGATTTTAAGACGGAAAATCCAAAATGGCTGCCTTGACATTTACCCAGAATGCCAAAAAACTAATGAGATCTAGATTTTTATACTAAGAATCATCCCTGAAAATTTGAAATTGATCCACCAAACGGTTCACCTGAAAACGCGCAGACAAGACTTCACAGACAAGATTTTAGGACCGAAAAATCCAAAATGGCCGACAATAAAAAAGTCCTTATGAGTTTTTGCTGATTTCTTTTTACAAAATTATCACATATAACTACTGTTAACAATAAAGTAGGCTTTTACAGCAAAGTAAGTTATTCCTGAAAATTAGAAGGTGATACCTGTAGCGGTTTTGGAGAAAACTGCCGGACGGACGGACAGACAGACAACCAGACAGACAGACGGACGGACGGACGGACGCGCCTAGGACGACAATATGGGCCCACACTATGTGGTGGGGACATAAAAATGGGTTGTGACATCCATAATGACATTGACATTGGCATTTTGCGCATGAACCATCTTTAGAAACATTTGTTTTTTACCATTATTTTTCACTGACTGAAATTAAGTTATAAGTTTCTCTTGGCTTTTCTTAGAATTTGTAAAATTCACTGACCATTTAGGTCTGTTATGAGATCATAACAACTATATCCTATCCGCAGGGCTGTCAACTTGGGACCACCTAATATGAGTGACTTCAAAATGTTGGACACCTAAGTCCAAATCTGAACACTTTTGTCCAAATTTTGAACACCTTTAGCCAACTTTTAAACACCTTTGGCCAAAGTTTGAGCACCTTTGCCAAAGTTTGAACACCTCAAATTTTTCGCGCTCGCTACGCTCGCGATGTCGTCAACGGGGGGGGGGGGGGGGGGGGGGGGGGGGGGGGGGGGGGGGGGGGGGGGGGGGGTAGGTACGAAAAATTTCCAATGAGCATGCGTGACACATACGGGATTCGCGTGACAAATCCGAACAAATTGCGTTCGGTTTTTTCCGGCGTTCGTATTTTTACCGTATCGTAAACATATTTCGAAAAAATTTCTACAGAAATATTTTTGCGTGACAATTACCAGGTAAAATGCGTATTTTGCGTGACATTTTCTGTCACGCAAAAAAAACTGGCGTGACTTCAAATTCTTCAGCAAATGCGTGACAAATACGCAAATTGCGGGACAGTTGACAGGCCTGTATCCATGATGTGATAAAAACAGTACTCACCAGTTAGGAGATATTCCTCCATAGGGGAGCTGCTATTCTTCATCTTAATATCAGTCACTCTGAGACATCCATCAGCGCACGACAGCACAGGTTTATCTGAAGCTGCCCAGTCTGCATCATGAATCTTTGGTAGATCTCTGGGTGACTTTATAGATGTCACTACTTCTACCTATGGAGAGGAATTATTATGTCATTGAGAGAAACAATTATGAGGACCATATAAATGGGCTAGGGGTAACAGTAATGTAACCATGGCAGCTCAAAATGTGGGTGGGCTAGTTTCTTAGTATCACACAATTTGTGCACACCAAACTCCCCCAAACTGTGTCTGTTGGAAAAATGAGATTTTAAGTGATCTGCACATTCAACCATTGAGGCCTCACATTTTCTTTTATTTGATGACATATTTGAATTCAGTACTTGATTTTCTCCTAGGATTTTGATTTATACATTTATCATATATTATTCAATTTGCGAGGTATTTTTATCTTTTTTTAAAAAGTTAAATATGCTCAATCTTCACTGACATATTGTTAAATAAAATATTGTTACATATCTTTAAAAGTTCATTTACTCTTTCAAGGATTACAATTTTAAGGTAAAATCACTATCTGCTTGTCAACAAGATCAACTACTTGATTCTTGCCAAAGTAGATTTACATGAGTAGATTTAGATATAGATATGTGCAAGTGCCAAAGGGCAAGGACCTAAATTGTTACATAACAATCACATTCCTATCAGGGTTAGGTATTTGATTTTTTTCATTTTATGCCTCAAAACGCCCAACTGACCGCCAACTCAATGTACCAGTCATACAACCAATCAAGCAAACAACCAACCAAGCAACCAACTAATCTACCAATAAACCAACTGACAAAACAAACATCCACATTCTGTCAATCAATCTGGCAATAAATCAAGCAACTAACGTTGTATTGTACATTGTACGTTAATTGACAGATAAAACTTCCAGATTTGTTTAATATCTAGTAGAAATCGCCATCATATAGAAAACAATCATCGATATCCTGTAAATCACTCAGACAATAAATCAAGCAACTAACTAATCCTACATGTAAACTGCAGTGTAAAATGTAAACCGCCTCGTCTTGCCCAAAAATAGAGCCTCCAAAGGTTGGCCTTTATAGACAGAACTCAGGCATATTCCATGTCATGGTGACTTAACCTCTAAACATATGCTGTTGTGTAATTCATTGTTAGTGAGAAGATCAAGATAAGGCCAACCAAGTTAGAAGTAGACAAGAATGTAGACTGGAATAGTCGCAACTGATTATGAGTTTTTCTGCACAAAGAATAGTACTTGACATATGTTGACGGATTTAGTATTTTTCTGATCAGAAGATTATGTCTGCCAAGAAATTGTTCAATATGCAACCAGTTTTGGATGAATCATCCACAAAAGAGAGATTTAAAGGTAAGCATTAGTTGGATTCTTAGCTCGTTTGTTGATTTAATTATTCAGTTATTTGTCACATGGGATTTTTTTAACTAAATTATTTAATTTCATACATTGTCTTAGTAGGTGACTATAGTTGTATATGAAATATGAATCCATTATAGTTAAGATTCTTCTTAATAGTGCATTATTCTCCAAAATAATATATTATAGGAAAAGTTGTAATAGTGACAGGAGGTGCTTCTGGAATAGGAAAAGAAACAGCAAGACGGTTCTTGAATGACGGTGCCACTGTTGCTGTATTTGACATAAATGATGATGCCATTCGAAACACAGAACTTGAATTTAAACAAGCAGGTTTTTCGCCAATGTTCTACAGTGTTGATGTTTCTAACAAAGCAGAGTGTCTCTCAGGAGTGGGGAAGGTGGCTGATGCAAATGGGGGAGTTGTACACTATCTAGTCAATTCTGCAGTCTACTTTTGCTTTGAAGGTAGTACATGTACCAGGCCCCTAACCAGGGGGGGGGTTGGGAGGGTGATTTCAAAATCATGCTGTTTTGCACCATTCTGAGCACTTTTCAAGTAATTTTGGTTATTTTTCAGCCAAAGTTCTCAAAAGTGACCCCACTGGAATTTAAAAAAAAGTGTTTCCCTTGGCAAATCCTGGCTACAGGCCTGTGTACTTTTTTTAAAATGGAACTGTGCTTAGCATGATTCATCTTAAATGACTTAAGTCATTATGATATTAAATGAATTTGCATGTTATTTTACATGGATATGACGGACATTCATCACTGATTTTAAATGAGTATCAATGAATGAGTATTATTATGCAATATGGACATATACAGGGACGATCTTACAAAAAACACCTTGTGTCATTCTTAAAAACATCTAGGATCACATAGATAACCCATATGTAATACCCAAAACTAAAACTCAATTAACATAATTAATTTAAAAAACAATGGGAATTTAGTATGAATATTTTAATTTCCAATTGTGATGTCATATTTCAATAAACACAGATTTCACTCATTAGCAATGAAGAAATCTACGAAAAATGGGTGTCAAAATATCGAAGAATGAGAAAGTTTGAAAGTTTCAATCAAACAGTCTATATTTTACAGTATCTATGCCCCCCTAAGTGATTTGTTACCATTCATGAGTTATTCTATACTCAATCCTCTATCCTTGTTCTTGTTTTGGCATGCTGATGTGTTATCAGGCTTCATAATTGTAATGCATATATGGTATTCCAGCTCTTCAAGCTGAGCATGAACATTGGGCTAAGACAATGGCAGTGAATGTAGAAGGTGTGGCCAATATGGTGCAATCATGCTATCCTTATATGGTTAAAGGTAGGTTGATCACATGTCTCTGTTAAGTATATTGGTGCACATGCCCAGAACAAGCTATCACTAAAGGATTTAAGACCAAGAATTACAATGCATTGTTTGCTGAATCATACCATGAACGTGTTATTACCAAACCTTTGCAGTTGGAATGCATGCAGTTGGAACGCAAAGTTTAGGAAACAACACCTGAGTGGAATGACGGAGCTACAATGCATTAAGTCTTGGGCTTAAATTCTTTTCACACATTGCAAATTTGTTTCTTTAAAATCATCTAAAAGGAACGAAATCACGAAAAAAACACATTTTCAATTAAATTTTTTGCAAAGGTCAAGTTGACAAGTCATCAAATCCAATGTGAAAAATCCATTCATCACCATGACAACTGTTTAACTAGTGACCTTGCATGTGTTATTGATATTTCACACACTGTTCATTGTGTGAATACTCTGTACGGATTGGCTGGAATCGGACACACCTTGCCTAGCTATGTGTGAATAATATTCCAAATACGTCTTAAAGATTATATTGGAATAATGATTACAAGTGTTTAACTAATTAAATTCATTTTAGCTGGTGGAAAAGAGTGTGGAATCGTCAACATGGCCAGTGGATCTGCCCATAGAGCCCAGACAAACAGATGGACATATTCTACTTCTAAGGGAGCAATTGTTTCATTAACAAAATGCATGGCACTTGACCTATCAGAACAGGGCATTCGGGTCAACTCAATCAGTCCAGGTGCAATCTGGACTCCTGGGGTAAATGATAATCATGTTCAAGATTTAAAAATATTAAGTAGAATGATGAGAAAAATAAAGACATTAATTCAATTCTTGCCAGAAAGATGGACATGCTCTCTGTTGTTTTTAGTCTAATTGTGGACAACCAAATCCAATATCTTGAGTCTATGACAACTATGAAAATGTTCCCAAAATAAATGAGAGTGATGAACACTTCCAATTTACTAGGGGGAGGGGGGGCTCAAAACTTTACTCTGAACTTTAGGAAATGCCTTCCGATAGACTTCTAAGTGCAATTTTAGAACATGCAGGAGTTTTACTAGAATTTTTCACAAAAGGTTAAATAAATGAAAACAACAGGCAAAATTAATGGAAATCATACATTTAACATTTCACAATTATGAATCTAAACAATCATCTCTAAATTGTGGTGTTCCGCAGGGCTCGGTACTTGGACCACTATTATTTATTCTTTACATAAATGATCTGCCTTTTGTTGCCCCTAATCTAAAATTTATTATGTTTGCTGATGACACCAATCTTCTTGATAGTGATTATGATTTAAATGAACTCATGACTAGAACTAATGCAAACTTGAATTCAATAGATGACTGGATAAAAGCAAACAAACTTTCACTTAATATTGGCAAAACCAATGCTATTCTATTTGGACCCCAAAAAAATCAAACAAATCTGAATCTTAAAATACGCAATGAGAACATAAATTTCCAGGAAAAAATTGACTTTCTTGGAATTATTATTGATAAAGACTTGAAATTTAAAGAGCACATAAAATCTGTTGACACAAAGATTTCTCGCGTCATTGGTTCTCTTTATCACATTAAACATCTACTTCAAATAGACAGTTTCAAAACAATTTACTACTCATTGATGCACTCTCAATTAAATTATTGCAACATAATCTGGGGTAACACATTTAAATCATTTTATGATCGTCTACATAAACTGCAGAAACAATTCTTAAGGCTAGCTTTAAATAAGGATAGACTTTCTCACTCCGCTCCCCTATTTAAAGATCTTAGAATATTAAATATTTTTGATGTCAACAGATATTGTACTGGTCAGTTCATGTACAAAATCTTTAATAAGCACCCCAGTCTTCCAAAAAATCTATTTCAAGACTTGTTTGATATCAACATTAATATTCATCATCATTACACAAGACAATTGCATTATTTTCATATCCCTAAATGCTCTAAACTTTCCCTTCGCTATCTGGGTCCTAATCTTCGGAATGCTCTACCACATGATATTAAAAAATGCTCCACTCTAAATATTTTCAAATCTTCATATAAAAAACTACTCATCTATCGATAATGTATAATACCAATATCATACTATACTGTTGATTTTATACTGGTACCCGATTTTTGTAACATTTTTACATTGTACATCCTTAGATCTGTAGATTAATTGTTAATACCATTTTTATATACCTACATGTAACATAATATAAGTGTTTTCTTTTATATGTAGTCTAGTTGTCATTTTAATGATTTATGTTAAACCGCAACATATACCCACTAGGGTGTCTAGCGGCTTGTTTTTATAGTGTATATTATATAAGAATTATGAAATAAATAATTGAATTGAATTGAAAAAAAAACAAAAAAAAACAAAAACATGGAAAAGTTGAAAAGTCCCAAACAACAGGAGATTTTGTGAAAACAACCGGTGAAAATCACCTGTTCCCTGCAGCTAATGAAACCCCTGACATGGATGATCCAAGAAATCAAAATCAAATTATGATCCAACAAATAGTTTCTCTATATTCCCCAAATAGCTAATAAAGTGAGAAATCCCTTTGAAAATGTACTTTTTATAGGTTGCAAAGTATTGTGGGTTTGCTGACAAGAAAAAGGCTCAGGAATATTTTGGAAAAGCCCACATGCTTCGTAGGATTGGTGAAGGTGCAGAAGTAGCAGCAGCAGTAGCATTCCTCTGCAGTAAAGATGCCTCATTCATCACAGCAACAGATTTGAGTGTAGATGGAGGATACACTTCAATGTCACCAGAGAGATTTGGAGAGTGAACATACAAATAATTGAGCAACCAAGGGAAAGGGTAAAAGTAGACATAATTTGTCCCCAGAATTTGGTTGTTCTACAGTGGAATTAGACAAAGGAATGTCTATCAAATAAGGAACAGAAGAAAGAGACAGCTAGAGGGACTCTCTCAAATAAGGAACAAATATTATTATGATGTTTTGCTTGGTACAGATGAAATCAATAGTTCTTTCATAAATAGGGGGAAATTATTTGATATATATGATTTTGTATATAAAATTAATTCTTATTTGAATTTTTGAAGAAACAAAAAGATGACCTAAAATCCCCTATTAGGGAAGTCTGACAATATACTTTTCAATTTTGACCTTTTGGTATATGAGTACATGACATTTAGTGAGTGAACTCAATGAGTGAGCAAATGGAATGAATAAAAAATACTAGAAGATATATATACTAAATAAATGTCTTGTTTTTAAAATAAAGAACAGTACTGCAAAATTGGGTACGGAAGTAGTTTTCCACCTTTTCATTCTCACCTCCTGTGTAACAATTGTTACGTTTATCATTTACTATTATCAATCATTTCCACAAGCTTAGTATCGAAAATCATAAAATAGCAAGTAAAGGCCACCATTTTCCAAGATGGCTGCCATGTGCTTCTTTAATACCTACATTTTTAGCTCTATTAATGTCCTATATAATTTTTTTACATTTAAAACATATTGCTATTACAGTTTTACATATTGTACCTTAATAACTGTAAAATCAGCACTAAAATGGCCGCCATTTTTAGATGAGCGGCCATTTTGAAAATCGTTTTCGAGCAGAACTTCTACTCCCATAAGGTATATGTGTACAAAATATAAATAAAATCAGGCCAACGGTATTTGATTTATTGCCCGGCCGGCCGGCCGGCTGGCCGGCCGGACGTACGTACATACGGACGGACAGAGGCGTTCCCTATATCCCTCCGAACTTCGTTCGATGGGATAATTATGTGGACCAAATAAATGGGCTAGAGGGTAACAGTAATGTAACCCTGGCAGCTTGTGTTTGGGCTAGTTTCTTAATATCACACAATTTGTGCACACCGAACTCCCCCAAACTGCATCTGTTGGAATAATGAGATTTTAAGTGATCTGCACATTCAACCATTGAGGCCTCACATTTTTCTTTTATTTGATGACAAATTTAAATTCAGTACATGATCTTCTACTAGGATTTTTATTTATACATTTATCTTATGTTATTCAATTTGCAAGTTTTTGAATCTTTTTGTGGAAGAAAGGTCAGCGTGTAGATCAGAATTACTACACAAACTGTCACCGGTACCCGCCGTGGGGGCGGGGCTACTAAACTGTAATATGGTCTCTACTAGGCAGAGTGTAGTTTAACTAGACTCTGCACGCAGGGTAATCGTACATGTAAACTGCAGTGTAAAATGTAAATCACCTCGATCTTCCCCAAATATAGAGCCTCCGATGGTTGGCCTATATTGGCAGAACTCAGGCATATTTTATGTCATGGTGACATAACCTCTAAACATATTAGTATGCTGTTGTCTTATTCATTGTTAGTGAGAAGATCAAGATAAGGCCAACCAAGTTAGAAGTAGACTTGACATACATGTATGTTGACGGATTTAGTATTTTTCTGATAACCATACACTAAAGTCAAAGCTCTGATCATAAGACTATGTCTGCCATATTCTTCAATATGCAACCAGTTTTGGATGAATCATCCACAAAAGAGAGATTTAAAGGTAAGCATTTGTTAAGATTCTATGTTTCCTCATTTGTTCATTTAATTATTCAGTTATTTGTCACATGGAATTTATTATCAAAATTATTTGATTTTGTACATTGTCTTAGGATGATTAATGAAATATGAATCTACTATAGCTAGGATTCTTCTTTTGTATTATTCTCCAAAGTAATATATTATAGGAAAAGTTGTAATAGTGACGGGGGGCGCTTCTGGAATAGGAAAAGAAACAGCAAAACGGTTCTTAAATGACGGTGCCACTGTTGCTGTATTTGACATAAATGATGATGCCATTCGAAACACAGAACTTGAATTTAAACAAGCAGGTTTTTCGCCAATGTTCTACAGTGTTGATGTTTCTAACAAAGCAGAGTGTCTATCAGGAGTGGGGAAGGTGGCTGATGCAAATGGGGGAGTTGTACACTATCTAGTCAATGCTGCAGTCTACTTTTGCTTTGAAGGTAGTGCAGACTGTACATGTACTTTTTTAAAATGGAACTTTGCTTTATGATTCATCTTTTAATATTATTGTACAACCTTCGCTGAACATGAGAAATGAGAAAATAACTTTTTGTTTTATTACAGTTGATAAAAGATCCAGACAGGATATCCTCATAGAGGTTGTCTATGGAAGAAAACTGTTTTTGTGATTTAATAAATATAATAACCAACTTGAAGAACATGTTCAAGAAGAAGCAAATGACTATCCATTATGATATTGAATGATTTTGACATGGATATAACAGCCACTCATCACTGATTTTGAACGAGTATCATTATACAATATGGACATATACAGGGAGGTTCTTACAAATGGGACACCTTGTATCATTCTTAAAAACATTTAGGATCACGTGGATAAGCCATATGTAATACAGTTGATCCTGCTAAGTGGAACACCTCTATAAGTGGAACACCTCGCAAGTGGAATGCTTTTTCAAAGTCCACTTACACAGGTTCTACTGTACAATTAAAAAAAAATGAATATTTAAATTCTAATGTAGTTGAAATTTATACAATTTCCAATTATGAAATCGTAATTTACTAAAATCAAATTTTACTCTAATTTAAAATCTGTGAAAAATGGGTGTCAAAATATCCAAAAATGATAAGTTTCAATCAAACAGTCTATATTTTACAGTATTTATGCCCCCTTAAGTGATTTGTTACCATTCATGAGTTATTCTATCCTCAATCCTTTATTCTTGTTCTTGTTTTGTCATGCTGATGTGTTATCAGGCTTCATAATTGTAATGCATATATGGTATTCCAGCTCTTCAAGCTGAGCATGAACATTGGGCTAAGACAATGGCAGTGAATGTAGAAGGTGTGGCCAATATGGTGCAATCATGCTATCCTTATATGGTCAAAGGTAGGTTGATCACATGTCTCTGTTAAGTATATTGGTACACATGCCCAGAACAAGCTATCACTAATATCTTAAAGATTATATTGGAATGATGATTACGAGTGTTAACTATTTAAATTCATTTTAGCTGGTGGGAAAGTGTGTGGAATCGTCAATTTTGCCAGTTTATCAGCTTATCGAGTACAGAAAAACAGATGGACATATTCTTCTACAAAGGGAGCAATTGTTTCATTAACAAAATGCATGGCACTTGACCTATCAGAACAGGGCATTCGGGTCAACTCAATCAGTCCAGGTGCAATCTGGACTCCTGAGGTAAATGATGATCATGTTCAAGATTCAAATATTTAGTAAAATGATGAGAAAAATAAAAAATAAGGAAAATTCATGTAATTATTTTTTAGTGTAAAATGTATACAACAGTTCCCCAGAAAGATGGACAGTACATGCTATCTAGTGTTTTTTGCCTAAGTGTGGACAATCAATCCAGTCTATGACAATGTCAACCAAAATATATGAGACTGATCATCACTTCCAATTTAAATAGGAAAATCTTAAATAGGAAATGCCTTCCAAACGTGATCCAAGAAACCAAATTCAAATCATGATCCAGATTAGTTTCTCTATATGCCCCTTTTATCTGATAAAGTGAGAAATCCCTTTGAAAAGTGTACTTTTTAAAAGTTGCGAAGTGTTTTGGGCCTGCTGACAAGAACAAGGCTCAAGAAACTTTTGGAAAAGCCCACATGCTTCGTAGGATTGGTGAAGGTGCAGAAGTAGCAGCAGCAGTAGCATTCCTCTGCAGTAAAGATGCCTCATTCATCACAGCAACAGATTTGTGTGTAGATGGGGGATACACTTCAATGTCACCAGAGGGATTTGGAGAGTGAACATACAAATAATTGAGCAACCAAGGGAGACACAATTTGTCCCCAGAATTTGGTTGTTCTACAGTGGAATTAGACAAAGGAATGTCTATCAAATAAGAAACAGAGGAATAAGACAGCTAGACAGCTCACATAAAGAACAAATACCATTATTATGATGTTTTGCTTGGTACAGATGAAATAAATAGTTCTTTCATAAATAGGGGGAAATTAGTTTATATATTTGTGTTTGTATATAAAATCATTTCTTCTTTGAATTTTTGAAGAAACAAAAAAAGATGACCTAAAATCCCCTATTAGGAAAGTCAATATACTTTTAAATTTTGACCTTATGTTTTGAGAGTACATGACATTAAGTTAGTGTACTCAAAAAGTGAGCAAATGGAATTAATGAAAAACTATTGGAAGATAATGACAATAAATGTTTTGTTTTAAAATAAAGAACAGTACTGCAAGATTTAGTACGGAAGTACTTTTCCCCCTTTTCATTCTTACCTCCTGTGTAACAATAGTTCAGTTTATCATTTACTATTATTATAATTTCCACAAGCTTAGTATCAAAAATCATAAAATAGCGAGTAAAGGCCACCATTTTTCAAGATGGCTGCCATGTGCTTCTTTAATACCTACATTTTTAGCTTTATTAATGTCCTATATAATTTTTTTTACATTTAAAACATATTGCTATTACAGTTTTACATATTGTACCTAAATACTTATAAAATCAGCACTAAAATGGCTGCCATTTTTAAATGAGTGGCCATTTTGAAAATCACAACAAAATCGGGCCAACGGTATTTGATTCATTGCCAGACGGAAGGACGGACGGACGGACATATGTACAGACAGACAGACGGACGAAAGTGTTCCCTATATCCCTCCAAACTTCGTTCATGGGATAATTATGTGGACCATATAAATGGGCTAGGGGGTAACATTTATGTAACCATGGCAGCTCAAATTGTGGGTGGACTAGTTTATTAATATCACACAATTTGTGCACATCGAACTCCACCAAAGCGTCTGTTGGAATAATGAGATTTTAAGTGATCTGCACATTCAACCATTGAGGCCTCACATTTTTCTTTTATTTGATGACATATTTGAATTCAGTACATGATCTTCTACGAGAATTTTCTTATGTTATTCAATTAGCAAGGTTTTTTATCTTTTCTGAAAAAGTTAAATAGGATCAATCTTCACTGACATATTGTTTAAATCAAATAATGTTAAATATCTTTAAAAGTTCATTTACTCTTTCAAGGATTACAATTTTAAGGTAAAATCACTATCTGCTTGTCAACAAGATCAACTACTTGATTCTTGCCAATGTGAATTTACATGAGTAGATTTAGATTTAGATGTGCATGTGCAAGTGCCAAAGGGAAAGGACCTAAATTGTAACATAACAATCACATTCCTATCAGCTCCAATATACTCAACTCCAACTCAATGTACCAGTCATACAACCAATCAAGCAAACAATCAACCAAGCAACCAACTAATCTACCAATCAACCAACTGACAAAACAAACATCCATATTCTGTCACTCTGGGAATAAATCAAGCAACTGACGTTGTTTTGTACATTTTACGTTTATTGACAGATAAAAGTTCAAGATTTATTTAATATCTAGTAGAAATCGGATTCATAGAAAACAATCATCGATATCCTGCAAATCAGTCAGACAATAAATCAAGCAACTAGCATCATCGTACATGTAAACTGCAAGTGGAGCCAGTTTTAGGCAATAAAACTCTTGAATTGCACTTGCTATATATAAAGCACAATTTTTTGACATAAGTGTCATTAATACATATATTTTTGATATCTAACAAAGTGGTGTTGAAAACTGGCCCCAGTTGATAATGAGGCCCAGTCCTCGAAAATTTTCAATCTTCAAAAGACCCCCTGCAGAACAGTTCTAGAGTAATAAAGCCCATATTAACAGAATGTTACAATAACATGACTATCTTGAAAATAAGAAGGCTTAAATTTTTTCTTATGCCTACTTCTTAAGATATTAACGCTTGAATTTTGGAAATTCCCCATTGGCTGCCATTATAAATGCCTATCAATATCGCTTTACTAAAGTGTAAATCTAACGAAGTGGTGTTGAAAAGTGGCCCTAGTTGAAAATAACAGGCCTCAAAAATTTTGCTAATTTACATTGAGCTCTATGTTAATTTATCAATCTTCAAAAGACCCTCTGCAGAACAGTTTTAGAGTAATAATGCCCATTCTCCTTGAATGTTACAATAACATCATTATGTTCAAAATAAGAAGGGTGGAAGTTTTTTCTTTTACCTTGTTCCAAAGATTTGGCTTTGAATTTTTGAAAATACCCATTGGCTGCCATTATAAACCGCTATCAGTATGGCTTTACTAAAGTGTTTTTTTCTCAAAAAGTCCACTGTGGAATTTTCTAATATTGCAGATTTCTATAGTTATTATATTGATTTAAAAAAATCAAACAGGTACATTTCTGAAAATTCCTTCTTTTTAATATATTCAGCCATTAAGTTAAAGATTGATAAATTAACATGAGGCACAATATAGTTTTTTTTATAGTTTTTGACGGCTTAATATATTAAAAATAAAAAAATTGAAATAGTAATAGTAAAAGGTAATAAGGAGAATGGTGATTTTTACTCTCAAACTGTTCTGCAGGGAGTCCGTTGAAGATTGATAAATTAACATGGGGTTGAATATATAGTTTTTTTAAATAATTATACCGGTTAAATAAATCAAAAATAAGAAATTTTTAGAAATGTACCTGTTTGATTTTTTTTAAATCACTACATTAACTATAGAAATCTGCAATATTAGAAAATTTCACAGTAGACTTTTTGAGAAAAGAACACTTTAGCAGAGCCATATTGATAGCCGTTTATAAAGGCAGCCAATGGGGAATTTCCAAAATTCAAACCCCGATATCTTTAGAAGTAGGTAAAAGGAAAAAATCTAACCCTTCTTACTTTGAAGATAATCATGTTATATTAACATTTATTTATTTATTTATTTCATGATAATATAACAATGGAATGTACAAAGCATGTGCACTCGACACCCTTAGTAATTGGGCGTATCAGTGCATATATCAAAAATTATTGCAGAGCAATCACAAAACGTATAATATATAACAGTATAACATACATTATCTAAATTGTTTAGATGCAATACAGAAACTCTGAAGTCTGGATATAAATAATTAATTTAAATGGAATGTGATCTTACGAGGGTTGTCCCAGAAGTAATGCACTATATGCTCTAACTTTATCAATAATTGATATTTTTCCATGAAATTTTCAGTAAATTTTCCTAAGAGACATTTTGATTATTCTACAAATTTTCAAGTTGACTGATAAAACTATAGCGATGTTATAATAAAATCAAGTTGGTGTGTTTGGGTAGGGCGGGGCAGGTTATACAGTCACGTCAAAAGGGATAAAAAAATTGAAAATACGAAATAATTAATCAACAAATAACATTTTGTGTAGCTATAAGAAGTTGGCTCTAAAATACATTATAAGATACTAAATTACTATGAGCAAATCTTAGATTTAATTGATGTATTTTGCACAGTGTCCCATTTAATATTTTCTCAAAATATTGCCCTTTGCATGTTATGTACTTTTGATGCCTGTCAGGTCAAACACTCTTGGCAATTTCTTCCACTGTGACTTGTGGAGTTTTTGTCTCCCATGTTTGGAGTTGTCATTCAGGGTCCAGTCATCTCTTTTAAATCTCTTCTGCCACCTCATAATTGTAGTTCTATCTGGTTTATACTTCTTATATAATCTTTTCATGGTGGCATAAGTTTTGCGTGGCTTTGAGTCCAAGTGAAGTACGAAATTAGGCCATCAAACGCAAGTCCTTCTGTTATCAGGTGAGAATTGCAGCCATTTTTGCAATTTCTTGACCGTGACTGTATTAGAATTTGTGACCATTGAACTGTTGTATTATGACATCACAGTGCTAAATGCCATTATTTGTACTTGGTTAACATCATGCTGAATAAATTAAACAATTTCCCAAACATTTTGATCATTTAAAAGAAAGAAATATTAATAAAATAACACTTTGGATCTTTTCATTATTAGAAAAATTGGTACCTGCCCTGCCCACCCCTACCCTCATGTTGCTATAGCAACCATAGTAAGACTAAATACTAATGTTTGATGCTGAAACTTCAGGATAGTATATATAAAGCTTCAATTGTTATATACACAAAAATTCAGCTGAATTGAAGTATATTAAAGAAAGTTAGAGCATATAGTGCATTACTTCTGGGACAACCCTCGTATATAGTATTTCCATTCATCTTTTCCAAAAGGTCCTTTTTAATGTTGTGTTTAAAAGAATTCAAAGTTTTACATGTTCGAAATACAATTGGCAAAGAATTCCATAAAATAGCACCAGAATATGTCACTGATCTTTTTGTCAATTCAGTTTTTATTTTGCTGGGGCTAAATTATGAAACTGTCTTGTAGTACGATTACCAACATTATGATTGTGCATGTATGTAAAGTAGTTTTTGAAAAGATAAGCAGGAAAATTTGATGGTTCCTTGACACAATTATACATAAATTTTGATTTCTCTAACCTGTGAATGTCAAAAATTGTTAAGATTTTCATTTCCCTAAATAATGGTACACTAGATTGTTGATAATCTGCATTACAAATCAGTCTTACAACTTTTTTCTGAAGATTAAGTAATGGTGTAAGTAATGATTTGTTGGCATTACCCCATATGATGTTGCAATAAGAAATATGTGAATACACAAGTGAATAGTAAATGTCTAACAATGCATGTCTTGATAGTTTATTT